GATTAAAATGATTAAAATGAATAACTGATAATTTGAAATAGGAAAAGGTCCAAAGGTGTAGGGGTGGTGGGAGGGGAAGAGGAAAGGAAAGAAGGGAAAGGAAAAATTATGAGAAAAGAAAAAAAAATGGAAACGAAATCTATGTACATAGGGAAGGGTGGAGGGGGTGAAGGGCGCACAGGTAATGGGGAAAAAAAAAGAACCAAGATACATCATTTACAGGTCCAAGCACTCAATGATAAATGTAAATGTACTGTATACCTAAAATGTACTAATAAAAGAATTTTTTAAAAAAAGAAAGAAAAATGGTGGTAAGCACCATTTTTTAAAAATTTAAAGTTGAAGGGGCAGGGATTTAGCTCAGTGGTGCTGCTGCCTGCCTCACAAGTGCAAGGTCCTGAGTTCAATCCCCGGTACAAAAAAAAAAAAAAGTTTAAAGTTGAGTCCAAGAACCTCATTCTTCTCATACAAATTCGGAGCACCATTTGACTTCAGCAGCATACCCAAGCCAGTCTCTCTGGGAAGTGGCTGAGAAGCTGAATAGGTTCTAAGTAAAGGCAGGGGCCCTCTACTTCCGTTCTCCCTCCCTGGTTTTGTCCTCAGCCAGGCCCCCATTGTTCTCAGCTACAGTGCCTGTGAACTTGGTTCCTCAGGGTCCCCTCCCCAATCTGCTTTGAAGAGACACAAAGTCCTCAAACCATGGCAGAGGGAATCAGGAGCACAAGTAGCTGTGTCCTCACCTAATACCGAGCTGGATACCTGGCTGTTTTATTATAACTGCTGACAGATAGCGCACTACCTGCCTGAGCAGCTACTACTTTGGAGATCATGGTTCTTCAAGAGCAAGTTGGGATTTAATCCCATTCTGCCTCCCAGAATGACGCCTCCAGGACTTGAGGAGGAGGGCTGGCACTTCCACCTCCCACCTTCTGCGTAAGCATTGTCAATCTCTCTTCGGATCCACTCAGTTCTTCTCCTTACCCACAGACTTCGATGTTCTTTCTCCATCCATACCCATGGAAAGACCAAAATCCTAAGACGTAATATCATCACTTTATTCAGGAGAATCAAACACAGGGCCGACACTGACAAACAACTATGCATAAAATTACATAAATCTGCTCACTGCGTATCCAGAAGAGACCCTGTCATCATAAATCAGGAGGGTGTGTGCACAACTGCAGTGTTTTAAGCACATGTCCGACTCTCCCTCGAAGATAAGGGAGCACCAGGTGGAAGTGGCCCTTAAAGCAGGAAGAGAAGGAATCAGCAGCTACACAGAAGCCACGCTTCCTGGCTCTGCCTGTGCTCAGTGGTAGGCCTTGCTGAACTCCTGCAGGGCCCAGCGCTTGTTCTCTGTTGCCTGCTTGAGCTGGGTGTACTCCTTTACCAGCCTGTCAAACTCCTCCCCAAGAACTTCATAGGTGTTCAGGACCTGTCGTGACTTCTGCAAGTCCTGCTCCTGTAGGCGAACATCTGCCTCTAAGCGGTCCCTAAGGACCCAGGCAGAGAAGGTTCAGTGTAAGGATGCTTATATTGCAAAGAGACACAGGGAGCACGTTAAAATGAACAAGGCTAGAGCGTGTGGGGATCCTCACCTAATGAGCCGATGAACTTCCACTTTCTCAGCAGTGTAAGTGTCAGACACAATCTTCAGTTCCTCCATCCTGACAGAGGAAAGAAAGAAATGTCACAGGGATGATCGCTGGCATCAGCAGAGCCAGGCACAGACATGGTACCTGGCCACATTAAGATGGGGGCTAAGGGCCGGGGATTTAGCTCAGTGGTTCTGCTACCTGCTTCAAAAGCAGAAGGACCTGAGTTCGATCCCTGGTACCAAAAAAAAAAAAAAAGATGGGGCTAAGCAGGGATGGAATAAATAAGGTCATCCTCAATCCCTGAACACTGATCTCACGTAAAACACCTATCTCAGAAAGTTGTAAAGGGAAAGATGTCAAGAGATTTTGGGTGATCCAAAGCTGATACTGCTGTGTGACACTTCCTCAATGCCCACAGGTGCTAGGCACAGGAGAGAGGAAGAGACCAGGGAGAGGGACAGAAGTGGTGGGACCCACAGGGACACAGCTCACCGCAGCTTAAGGATCATGGCACTGCATTTGACTTCCAGGTACTGAGCATTGATCCGATCCAGCTCTGACTGAGCCTGCAGCCGGTGCTCCTGAAGTAGCCTCTGCAGCAAGGTAAGGCAGCGGAGAAGCACCTGGGCCCCAAGAAGGAGGAAAAGGCTGTAAGCAAAGCCAGCAGAAAGCAGGCAAATCAGAAACCCTGTTTCCCTAAAGGGGCAGGGTAGAGGTGAGCAGATGCACCTGGGAGTAGGTGGCACTCTTCTTCTCCAGCAACACCAGTTGCTCCTTCTGCTGGATCTGTGCATCCTGGCACTGCTGCTTCTCAGCCACCATGACCTCTGCCAGTTTCCACACCTTTGCAGCCTTCAGGGTTTCACTATCAGCATCTGGGCACAGAGACAGAGGACTGGCAGGAAAGCTCTTTGTGCCCGTCTTACATCTGGCCCTCTAAATTCTGCCTTCTCCCTAGTTCCCTCTGCTGTCCAACTCTCACTGTTAGGGTCTCCTTGCTCTGACCTCTGAGTCTTGCTTTGTCCCTGAACTCATAACAGTAAGGGGAACACACAGAGGTGCAAACTCCCTCTGGCATCTGATCCTCCAGAGGACAGCATCCTTCCCTCTCACTTGGCACCAAGCACCTTGCTGAATGAAAGAAGTGCTTACAAAGTGCTTGTTTTTACTCCACCAGCAAGGAAATAAATCAGCATCTCTGATCCTTCAAATAAATTATTCTCAAAGAGCACTCAGAACCCTGAAACCAGCTGTGAACAGAACAGAGAGCCAGCAAGCACCTGAATTGGGGTCATAGTAGCAAAGCAGAGTGAAACATTTCCTCTTGAGCTGCTCCTCCACTTCCAGCTGGAGCCGCGCTCGCATCCACACAAAATCCTACAGCCAAAGAGACCAAAAGAGAGGTGCAAATAGACTGCTAGAACCTGGAGACCTCACCTTGAATACATGATACAACCGCAATAATAACCAAATAAAATGCATCAAGAGACATCAGGGAGACTCATTGTAAGCCTAGCAAGTTAGCAAAGAGGGGCAGGAAAAAAGAAAAAGTTTTTAAAAGTAAAATGGGCCAGGGATTTAGCTCAGTGGCACCATGCCTACCTCACAAGCGCAAGGTCCTGAGTTCAATGCCCAGTTAAAAAAAAGTAAATAAATAAAAAATAAATAAGTAAAATGACTGTCAAGATCTCATGTTGGTAGGGCCAGAGATTTATTTAGCTCAGTGGTTTTGCCACCTGATCCGCAAACACAAGGACCCGAGTTCGATCCCCGGTACCCCCCCAAAAAAGAAAATCTTCCAGTAAGATCTCATGTTGGTGATAAAATCGGGAGCTACCATAGGAACACTGGAAACACTTTTCCAAAAAGAAGTGTGGGGGTACATATCAATGTGATAGGTTTTTGTTTTTTGTAGTAAGGGGAACTGAACTCAGGGCCTTCACACTTAGCTTAATCTCATATAGACAGACAAATAGAAATCTATCTATCTATCTATATATATATGAATGACTCAGTTCCTTTTAATAAAACAAGGTCTCACTATGTAGCCCAGGCAGGCCAAATTTGTGATCCTCCTGCCCTGCCCTCCTAGAATGCTGGGATTGCAGGAGTGTGCCACTACAACCCAGCTTGGTTTTTATTAGTTTGCTTTTGAGACAGGGCCTCACTATGTAGTCCAGATTAGCCTGGAACTCACTATGTAGCTCAGGCTGACCTCAAACTCAAGATCCTCCTGCCACAGCTCCCAGGTGCTGGGATTACAGGTGTGTGCCATCACACCTGGCTCAAATATATCATCCATTTACATCTATTTATTGACTTGAAAACAAAAGTCTAAAATATGTAACACCAAAACAAAATCTATACAAGGATGGAGACTATTATACCATTTACATCAAACTGTTTATACAATACTGTGTTTCTAGGCCAGGGATTTAGCTCAGTGGTTTTGCTGCCTGCTGTGCAAGTGCAAAGACCCGAGTTCGATCCCTGGTACAAAAACAACAACAACAACAACAAAAAAGAATGAGAAGCTAAAAATAAAAAATAAAAATTTTTTTTAAAAAATACTGTTTCTAGATATAGTACTTCAGCTTTTACTTTTTTCTGTGTAATGTTTTTCTTGAGTTTGACTACCATGAATGTATATAATTTTCACAAAAATGGTAAAGCTTAACAACAAATCATAAAGAAATGGGAGAGATTAAGCAGGTTTGCTTCTTTGTTCCCAGTACGAGCCCACTCTCAACCTCTGAGGGTGGCATGAGCTCCAGAAGGTCCGCCTTCTCCAGCCCTAACAGTGGAGGCATCTCGCTCTCCTGGGTAGGGCCTAAGATCTGTGTCAGTTCAGTCACAAGTAGCCGATGTTCAAGGGTCTCAAGGAACTGAAAGAGAATGAAAAGAAAAAGAGGTAATTATAAAATTTCACCTCTTCCATCCCTGTGAACTGGTTCTCACACATTTTCTTTTTTGTTGTTGTTGCGTTGAGACAGGGTCTTGCTTTGTAGTTTAGGCTGGCCCTGAACTCACTATGTAGTGTAGGCTAGCCTCAATCTCACAGCAATCCTCCTGCCTCTGCCTCCCAAGTGCTGGGATTATAGGCATGCACCACCAAGTCCAGCTTCTCATACATTTTCCTAAAAAAATTTTTTTTTTGCAAAGTCCTCAAACATGTCCTCCTGTCCAGATAACAGCTACAAGTGCCTCTCCTGTCAATTTTTCTATTTCAAACACTTGCCCAATAACAACAGTCTATTTCTTTTTCTTTCTTTCTTTTTTTTTTTAGTACCGGGGATCAAACTTAGGACCTTGCGCTTGTGAGGCAGGCAGTGGCACCACTGAGCTAAATCCCCAGCCCAATCCACTTATTTATTTATTATTTTTAAATTTTTTTTGGTACCAGGGATCGAACTTGGGACCTTGCACTTTTGAGGCAGGCAGCAGAACCACTGAGCTAAATCCCCAGCCCAATCCACTTATTTATTTATTATTTTTAAATTTTTTTTGGTACCAGGGATCGAACTTGGGACCTTGCACTTTTGAGGCAGGCAGCAGAACCACTGAGCTAAATCCCCGGGCCCATTTTTTAATAAACCATTACTAAGTCCATCTTTCCCCTATACCACATCATCAGACAAAACCACAGCTGGCCTGGTTATTCCTATAAGTGGTCACTGACACTAACCTCATCTCTTCAGACTCACCTTTTTGTCCTCAAAAGTTAAATTTGTGTCTTGGTTCTTCAGATAGTAGTCTACAAGCAGTTCTTGAATGACTCGCTGCAAAATCTCAAACCTCAACCATGTTGTCTTATGCAGTCGAACTTCCTTCCATGCCTAGAAAACCAAACGCTCTCAGGTGGGAACCTCTCTTAGAAGGCTTTCCCGTCCTCCTGTCTGCCCTTCTGCTGGGGCCCTTACCTCAGCCTGCTCCTTTGCCAGGAAGAAGCTTAAGCCACTCTCATCCACATGCTTTGAGAGACTCAGCAGCAGCTTGCTGAAGTACGGGTTCTGCAGCAGGTCTTCTTCACTCAGGTTACAAGGAGGAAACTGCCTGCTGCACACTAAACAGTATAGGGATGAAAAAGCAAAAAGTATGAACTCTCAGGCTGGGGATTTAGCTCAGTGGTTTCGCTGCCTGCTGCACAAGCACAAGGACACGAGTTTGATCCCTGTTATCAAAAAAAAAAAAAAGTATGGACTCTCACTTTATATAATCGAGCTAACTTAGTAGTTCCAAAAATCCTGAGCTTTTGGTAGGAAAGGTTTCTAAATCTAATGAAATTTTTTTTTGGTACTGGGGATTGAACTCAGGTCCTTGTGCTTGGGAGGCAGGGGGCAGAACCACTGAGCTAAATCCCTGGCCCCTAATGAGATTTTTAACAGCAACACAAACTAAACCAGGTGTAGTGGCCCATGCTGGTAATCCCAGCACTCAAAGGCTGAGGCAGGAGGATCATCATGAGTTCAAGGGTAGCCAGAGTTAAATACCAAAACCCTATTTCAAAACAAAACAAAAAAAGTAACACAAACTAAAGGTGATACTCAAAGTAACAAGCATTTATTTTATGTTCAAGGATTTTTTTTTTTGGTACCAGAGATCAAACTCAGGACCTTGTGCTTGCAAGGCAGGAACAGTGTGGCTGAGCTAAATCCCCGGCACAAGGATTTTTATTTTTGGAGGAGTTATTGGTTTTTGTTGAGAGGCGCAGCTGAGATAGGGTCTCACTTTAGTTCAAGCTAGTCTTGAACTTACTACATAGCCCAGGTTGGCCTCGAACTCAGGTAATCCTCCTGTCTCGGCCTCCCAAGTGCTGGGATTACTGGGGTGCACCACCATGCCAGGATTTTGGTTTTTTTGTGACAGGATCATCTATGTAGTCCAGACTAGCCTCAAACTCACAATCCTCCTGCCTCAGTCTCCCAAGTGATTCGATTAGAGGTATGCACCACTTCCCCTGGCTGTAAGTACGTCAACCAAAGGGAAATACTTGAGTATCTAATACAACTAAATTCTTAGAAAAGGGAAATTCGGGGGCTAGAGATGTAGCTCAGTGGTTCATCATGTGTTTGGCATAAACAATGCTGTGGGTTTGATCCTCTGCACTGCCAAAGAAAACCTAAGAAAATGGAAGGTGAGTTGGTAAACATGAGACAGAAGAATAAGGAATCCTTTAGGAGGGATCATCACAGCACCCAAATGCTTCATTCATGCAGAATTACTAGAGTTTTTAAAGAGGGGAAAAAACCACATGTAAAATTCCAACTTTAAATGTAATCTCTAGTTGCATAAGCAAGACTGAGAAGATATACCCTTGGCGTAAGTAAAAACTAACCAAATTCTCATTATTGTAAGCAGAGCTGACTAACCCATGTGGATACAGACTAGCACAAGTATGAGAAAAAGTGCAAGAAATTAGGTTGTCTGGTTATTCCTTCCATACGTTCAAGGGGCTTTCTTTCAATTTCTCCCTGGGTACTCTCTGGGATCTTTTACCTCTACTCACCAAACACTCAAATTTTCATTCTTTGGAGCTTTATACCCAAAGTCTTTTAAGAGTTACAAATAACTCTCCCTCTGAAGGATTCAATATGGAAATAGTCAAAACATAGAAAATACAAGTTCCTGTAGAATTTAAAACAGAAAGGATTTGAGATATCAAAAGTGCTTGAGATACAGAAGGAGCTGAGATTTTGGAGAACAAGATGTGAGAAGATTCAAGCTCAGGAAGGAAACCATCAAGGAAATGGCAAGCCACCTTTTATCTTTATAATATGCTTGCCAGTGCAGCACGGGAGCATCCTGAATTCACACACACAGATATGGAACCAACACTAACAGGAGTTGGTATAATCTGCTTCCCGATAACAGTGTTCAAGAAACTCCACATAGAGGCTGGGGATTTAGCTCAGTGGTTCTGCCGCTTGCCTCCCAAGCACAAGGACCTGAGTTCAATCCCCGGTACCAAAAAAAAAAGAAACTCCACATATTTTAGATTCCCCAGAAACCTGGGTTTCTGCTAGAGAAACCATACTAATGGACATGATAAATCCTTTTACTTAAGAACTCAGATAAGACCTCTCTGATTTGCGGGAGGGGATTACTTGGGATTAAATCCAGGCTTTTGTACTGAGCTACATCCCCAGCCTTTTTTTATTTTGAGTCAGGGTCTCATTAAATCACTAAATTGCCCACCTTGGGCTGCAATCTTCTGGCCTCAGCCTCCCAGAGTGCTGAAATTATAGGTCTGAACTACTACACCCAACCCAGATAAAACCTCACTGGATAAAGTCATCAAACCTTTTGCAAATATCTACCCTTACCTTGCTGAACTATTTCCATCCCTTCTCCAGGTAAGCAGAAATCTCCAGCTGCCATTTGATTTTCTTAGGTTAGGATTCTTATCTGTGTTAAAACAAATGAAAGAAAACAAAAAGATGAATAAATAGCTCCTGCTCTAGATGAAACTGCCCTGGGTTTGAGTTTCTGTTATCCACAAGCTAGGAAGGAACCTCGGGGATGCCTTTTACAGGAGGGGCTAAATCACATAGTCTGGGTCCCCAGCTCTTAGGTTCATGGACAGACTTACCAGTACCAAAATAATTTGCATTCCAAGCATATAAATGTCTCCTTGTTCTGAGCTGTCCAAAAAAGCCTCTTTCTGAAAAGAAAAGTTTCCAATTCAGTAAGGTCTAATCAGGATTCCCTACCAGTATCATTATAAAGCTGAAGTTAAAACTGAGCTACTGTTTGCCAGATATGGGTGATCTGAGGGAAGACAGGGAAAAAAATCCAAGTCTGTTTTTGTCCCCTCCAGTCAAATAACTCAGCTATCAAATTCCACAATAGTTTCTTTGTGCTTTTTTTTGGGTACCAGGGATCGAACTCAGGACCTTGAGCTTGCCAGGCAGGAGCGGTGCCACTGAGCTAAATCCCCAGCCCTCTTTGTGCTTCTTTAACTTGTCTTTCACTTAAGATCTGTTGGTAGCTTTTGTGCTTTTTTTTGTTTTGTTTGGTACCAGGGATCTGCTTTGGAGGCAGACACGGTACCATAGAGCTAAATCCCCAGACCCTATTGGTAGTTTCTGATCATTAATTCTAGAATCATCCTTCAGGTGTGATAAAACATTCCACACTTGAACTAGTTTTCACATAACAGCGTCAATAAGGAGAACCTGGAGGAATGGGGCAGACAAGACTGACAGGTCAATGCCAACGCAGTAGGCCGAAGGTGTAGTTGATGTACTTGAGAGAGATGTGAACTATCGCCAGAACATACAGTATTAGGTAAAGAATGATATCAACACAGGGGGTGGTAAAGATGAGCACAGGTAAAATCTGTCCCTTGACTTTATTTTCCACGTTTCTGCTCTACCCTCTCCTCTCTGTAAGGTATCCAACACCAAAGGGCTGCTGAGCCTCCCAAAGCAGGCCAGACACGAAGGTTATTATGATTTAACACTTCACGTTCACAGAACATTTGGTTTACTCTCTCCTTTTATGAGTAACATCAAAGTGACTATTCATTTGTTTTGTAACATGGTCTAGAGGGGGACGCAGCTGAGAAGGCAGAATGCTAAGACTTAATTTGCAGCTCTGCCGTTGCTTCTGTGTGAAGAGAAATTGCCTTTTTTCCTGCCAAACGTTTTTTCAACCTGCAAAACTGTGATAACGATTCCTGCCTTGCATGAGACATTAAGAATTAATAACACAATCGACTTGCTAACAAAAGCCACTATTTAGTTAAACTCAGTGTTTTAACAACTCTGTTATTATTTTTTAATCTAGGCCTGCAAATAAAAAGTTTTGCAGACAAATTTCGCACACAGAAATAAGGACCAACCCAAATTTCTACAAGTCAGCTGTTCCGACCCTAGAGGACTGCCCACTTGGGTTTTTTTTATGGGCGCTTTTCTTAACCCTTTTAAAATGTTACGGGCGCGAAAGGTGGCGGCAATCAGGCTGCATTCTCCACCCTCTGCACTCAGACGTGTTAAAACGCTGCTACAGGGACCCAAGCATTTAAATGTTCTGACTCAGGCGTCTTTTAAATTCTTAGAGCTGTCTTCACACGCTGCACTGAACGTTAAATTGATTTTACAGGTATTTTCACAAGATGTGACCCTTACAGGGCCCGAGATGAATCAAAATGTAGAGCGGGCTCTCCGGCGCCGACTTCCTTTCAGTCTGGGCCGCCAAGGATTCCCAAGGGCGAGGGCTGCCTCCTCCGAGGACGGCGGACACCCCGACTGCGGCCGAACCAAGCCTCCTCCCGCGCGCCCCTTGCCACAAACCTGCGCACCCCGGGGAGGCGCCGAGCGGGCTGGGCGAGGGGGGGGGCGGGGACAGCAGCGTCGACACCCGCCGGCGTCCCGGCTCCGGAACTTCTCACTCGCGCCCCGCGCAGGGCCAGGGGGAAGCCGAGTCCGGGAGGACCGCGCGGGAAGGCTGGGGCAAGGTCAGGCGCCGAAAGTGCACGAGGCGGCGTGGGAGCGGGGAAGGGGAGGGGCGGGCAGGCCCCGCCCCCCGAGAGCGCGCGGGGCTCTTAACGGCGGGGAAGCGGAGTAGTTTGACCCGCCTGGGACTGGGGTCCTCTCGGGTCCACTGTGGGCCTGCCTGGTTCCTCTCCCCCACCCCACACACCCAGTTAAGGACAAACATTGGGAAATGATAATAATTGCGCATATTTATTGAGGGCCTGCAATGAGTCAGGCACAGTGCCAACAGTTTTGCTTCCGTCATTTAGTTCTTACGGCAGGGAACTCGATTTCATTACCTCCTCTGCCGTCCCCTTTACCTCTCATCCTTCATTCATCTCTTTAGTGCTGGGAATTAAACCCAGGGCATCTGCACTGAGCTACATCCCCAGACCCTTTTGTTTTTAAAATGAGATTTTGCTAAATCACCCCTGGGCTCGAACTTGCACTCCTCCTCTGCCTCCAAGAGCGCTGGGATTACAACATTGTGCCACCACGCCTGACACCTATGTTTTAACCTTAAACCCAATGTGCTCCCTCTGTGCAAAGTTGGTTGGAATCTATTCAGAAGGTGAATTATTTTTTTAAAACAACGTGTTTGGCCAGTTACAGTGGCTCACCTGCAATCCCAGCTGCCTAGTAGGCTGAAATAGGATCATGAGTCCAAGGCAGTCCAGAAAGATGGTGAGATTCCATCTCAAAAATAAAAATGTTTGGTGCTAAGTAAACTGCACCAAGGCTCTCACATCTCTTGGATCAAAGAAGTTGAGAGCGCAGGATGCTGAGGAAGGACTCTCAGGTTGAGGTGAGCTGAAGGATGGAGACTTTACGCTTTTCCTTTAGCACAGGCTGAGAATTCTAGTATACACGAGGGATGGTGTGTCCCAGTGCAGAGATTCTGTATCCTCAGTCAGCTTGTCAGCTGCCACCTTTCATGTTTAACACTAGAGTGCTGTCATTTTCCAGGACTCTTAAAAATCATGTATGCTTCTTCAATTCTGTAGCTCAACATTATTAAATAGCAGGCATAATGTCCCTAACAAACGGCACTTGGAATAAAATAGCGGGCTTGCTCAGAACTGATCAGAAACCTACTGAAATTTCATCTGGAGGGCTGTCAAATTCTCAAATGTGGGATTACAAAGCTTTGGCTAAACAGCTCTGAAGTGCTGGGGATGAGGAGGTAAAGGTGCAGGGGTCTGTCTTTAGGAGGAGGCCGATGGAGAGGGAGAGCAGCGGGAAGCCTTGAACTGGACCAGATCTTCATATGCAGGGATCTGTTCTCTCAGACCAGCCATGTGATCATGGGCTTCAAGTTTCCTTATCTGTCAAAAGGAGGAAATAACATATTTCCAGCTCCAATCTCCTAGGGTTGATGTAATGATCAAATGAGATAATGGCTGGGAAAGTGTGTTGGAAAGACTATAAAGCTGAGGTGTTTTAAATTGACACTTATTAAGAGTCTTGGGCTAGGGCCGGGGATTTAGCTCAGTGGTTTCGCCGCCTGCTGCGCAAGCGCAATGACCCAAGTTTGATCCCCGGTACCAAAAAAAAAAAAAAAAGAGTCTTGGGCGAGACACAAAGATAAATATGATCTAGTCCCTACCCTGAAGATTTACATAGTCTAGTTAGAAGACACATGCACGTGAAAAACAACTAATACAAGGCAGCAAATAGGTGTCAAAAGAGCAATTTAGATAACAAATTGTAGAGAAACTTGAAGAGGGTACAGAATTTTTTTTCTTCAGGAATAGATAGGAAAGACAGTGAAATAAATCTTATTTTCACTGGGCCTAAAAGGAGAGAGAAAATTAGGATCATTTAGAATGGAGGAAACATCCCGGAAAATGGAGGAAAATGGAGGTGAGGAATATAAGTGGTATTCTAGGTCCAAGAAAGGACCAGCTGGAGAGAGGGGCTTTTATAGGCTTACTAACCTAAGACTAGAAATTAAGCCTACAGACCACCCTGGCAGTTGAAAATGCAGGGAAGTACTGAAAAAAGAATCCTACAATCAGATACCATCTGGAGTTCTTGAGCAGGAAAGAATTGCAAGAGAGGCCCTAGAATGCACCCCCCTTTTTCTTTCTTTGCCTCCTTCCCTGCCAAGCTCCTCCCTCCTTTTTTCAGAATTCTTTTTTTTAAAGGTATCTTGGCATGTGATATTTAAAGTGTACAATTCAGTAAGTTTTGCTATAGCTATACATCAGTGAGCCCATCATCATAATCAAGATAGTGGACATGCACATTGCCCTCTATAAATTTACTTACTTCATTATTTATTTTTTGGTACTGGGAATCGAATTCAGGACCTTCTGCTTGCCAGGCAGGCATTGTGCTGCTGAGCTACATCCCCGGCCTGCCCTCTGTAAATTAATCTTTGCACTCCTTCATAATTCCTCTCCAGTTTCCCCCACCTTTGGTCAGCCATGATCTGCTTCCTGTCGATAGAGATTAGTTTGTGTTTTCTAGAATCTTACATAAATGGAATCAAATAAAAATGTACTCTTTGGTTTCTTTCACTCAGCATAATTTGAGGTTTATACATGTCCTTACTAGTATCAATAATTCAGTTTTTAAGTTTATATCTTGTTGTTGCTGAGAGGTAATATGAAATCTTTAAAACCATAATTTGTTTGGGTTTGTATTCAAGAAGCACTTCCTGGGTCACCCCCAGGGACCCAGCCCAATAAGTCCGATACAGAGGCACTCACCTTTTGGAAGAATGAATTCCTGCACAGCCCTAAGCGGCTAGTATCTTCAAGAGTTTCAATTGTTCCATGAAATGTTTGGCCCTCAAGGCCAGGCTGTTCATCAGTGCTGTTCATCTCCCTTTCCATGGTGCCCTATGCAAAATACAATCGTTCCCTTAAGTGATGGTTAATGGTGAAGCCAAGAACATGCTCAAGGGACCAGGGATGTAGCTCAGTGGCACCACACCTGCCGTGCAAGCGCACGGTCTAGAGTTTGATCCCAGGTACTGAAAACAAAACAAAACAAAACAAGAACATGTTCAAGGGTTCCTGACCTAGACTCCGGCAAAAGTAGAAGGCAGGAATGTAGAAAGATAAATTAGGCATGAGTCCCATCCTTAATCTGATCTCTTGAAGATAATGCTTTTGGTCAAGTCTCTAAAAATATTCATGTGTATGTTTTTAACTTGGTGATAAATGTAAATAGGAGTCTGAGAAAAAGTCTGCTTAACCTTTCAGACTTAGGTACTCCTTTGCTGCATAGTTTAAAATGACAAAGAATGGAAATTTACAAGAATATTGCAGGCACTCTGCCTCCCATACTCTCTAGCCAGGCAACAAAATAGTGCTCCAGAGAGATTCCAGGTGAGTATTTAGTATTCTGTTTATGATACTAAAGGGAGCTTTTAAGTAGAATATGTTCTCAAGCTAAAAAATATGGGCTTAAATAACTAGTTTAAGATGTTAAAATAGCCTTTGGAACTTGGACTCAGATTTAACAGACCAATTGTTTAGAAAAACTTTAAAAATAAACCATAGCACTTTGAAAGTATTTGAATATATTATGATATTATGGACTGAAAAACTAGTTTCAGGGATAAAAAAATTTTACTTGCATCAAGAGGTTTTGAATTCTTTTCAAGGGTGTTCACCGGAAAATGAAGGTATTCAGAATGACAACGATTGATGATTAAGCCAGAAAATTCCCTGTCCATTGTAAGTACATGATTTGAGAAGAAAACAAGAAGATAAAGAAAATATGTAATCAACCTATGGCATCAAATGAAAATTTCAGAACAAATGTTCATAATGTGCCATTTTTGCAATTGCTTAACACTTACCAGGGGCTTTCAAACCCTGCTCCTCACCGCTTGAAGGGTTGCTTCTTTCTTCACAGAAACTTACTATACAAACTGGGATGAGTCTGGTTTACTTTGAGACCCTGTTGAGAACTAGTATACAAACTAGGTTTGGCAGGAAATGTGGGGTCTCAAAAAAGGCTGAGAAATTTGGCTCAAAATGGGACAGATTGAAATAATTTAAACCAAAAGAATATGAAACTAAATTCATTTTGTTTTTGTTTTTTTTTGGTACTGGGGATCGAACTCAGGACCTTGGACTTTCGAGGCAGGCACCAGAACCACTGAGCTAAATCCCCAGCCCACCCTGTTTTTGTTTTTGTACTGGGGATCAACCTCAAGACCTTGCGTTCAAGGCAGGTGCAGTGCCACTGAGCTAAATCCCCAGCCCCTCATTTTGTTTTTTGAGACAAGGCTTCACCATGTAGTTCAGACAGGCCTTGAACTCACTCTGTAGCTCAGGCTGGGTTCAAACTCATGATGATCCTCCTGCCTCAGCCTCTTGAGTGCTGGCATGCACCACCACACCTAGCCTGAAACTGTAAATTGATTCGGGAGAGGAAGACTAGTATATTCCAAAAAGTTGGACATGAATCCCAGCATGTGCAGTTCTTTTTACAACTGAGTGTGCTGCTAGAACTTGGAAGCGTGTACCAGGCTGATAAAAGTATTTCCCTGAATTTTTCAGTGATGGTGACACTGTTGTATACTAAGTTACATATGAAAGAGATTTTCTTCTTTAAAAAATATGTAAGAACCAGTGGGAGAAATAGACCATCCAAAGGGCACTTGGAGTTTCAGGCTTGGGAAGAATTTACGTTATGAATTTTGAAATGCTTCCTATGATTAAGGTCTTACAGCAGAAAAAGCAAAACCTTTAGGAAGTTAGCAATTTCGTACACATTCTATACTCTATATACCAGAGAGAAATTTAGCTCAGCTAATTTACAGTACGCAACCATGGTAGCTAAGCAGATTATCACATCTGGGTTTCCCATGACATCCTTTATAAATTAAACAAATAATTCCATGTGATGAATGTGATCCTTATGTATGGCAAATATGTACTAATAAATAAAAATAAAAACCCCAGGCCAGATCAGATCGGATACTAATATTTTTCTTGGGCAGCATTTCAAAATTAATTTATTGATACTTTTATGTATTTATTTTGGGAAACAGTGTCTCCCTATGTACCCCAGGCCAGCCTTGAACTTTCAATCCTCCTGTCTCAGCCTCCTGAGTGCTGGGATTATTGGTCCCTTGAGGTGATTAACAAAGGAAGGGTCTATTGGAGAGCCCATCTCAGAATCATCCAAATCAGGGGTTATTGGGGCCGAGGATTTAGCTCAGTGGTTTCACCACCTGCTGCGCAAGCGCAAGGACCCGAGTTCGATCCCCAGTACCAAAAAAAAAAATAAAAATAAAAAAAATAATAAAACAAAACAAATCAGGGGTTATGGATCCAAAAGTCTACCGAAGCCAGGATGGTATGGTGCATGTGAAGGACAAACTTTAGGGTGTGGGGATTGTGACAAACAGGAGGGAATATACAGCTGAGGGAGCACTCATCATTCAGTTCCAGTGACAGCTGGGGCCCTTGGTTCTGTGGGTACAGAGTGAAGACAGAACCACTGCTACCATAGGCTCAATGGAGGCCCTGGAGTGACAGATCTTCTTCCTGTTCAAAGGACTTTAGAAACCCAGTTTTTCACACAGAAGGTTGACTTTTATATTAAATGTCCTGAATTATAAATGTTGTCAACCAGTTATTTTGTTTGTAGCAGCTTATTATTATTATAGAGGCTAGGGCCGGGGATTTAGCTCAGTGGTTTCGCTGCCTGCTGCGCAAGCGCAAGGACCCGAGTTCGATCCGATCCCCGGTATCAAAAAAAAAAGAAATGTAGGCCAACAAAACAACATAGTCTCACAAATCAAACTGTTAATACCTTGGCGTATATCTTTTTCAGATCTTCTTCTCACAATAATGTAGACGTTTTAAAAAGAAAATGTGATTATCCTACATGTATGGTTTTGGAACCTGCTTCCTGTTAATTATTTTGACCTTTAATTTTGGAGCTAGGGATGCTTTTTTTTCTTTTTTGGGGGGGGGGGTACCGGGGATCAAACTCAGGTTCTTGCGCTTGCGCAGCAGGTGGCGAAACCACTGAGCTAAAGCCCCGGCCCTATGTTGGCATTATATTTTATTTTTTGTGTACCGGGGATCGAACTCAGGTCCTTGTGCATACAAGGCAGGCAATGGAACCACTGAGCTAAATCCCCGGCCCCATATGTTAGCATTTTAACAGCAATGGAGAAGTCAGACTAAAGCATCAAAGTCATCCTGAGCCCCACTACATTTTTCAAAGCATTTAAATTGTTTTTGTTTTTTACACAGGGTCTATGTAGCCCAGGCTGGCCTTGAATTCATGCAATCCTCTTGCCTCAGCTCCCGAGTGCTGGGATCACAGGCGTGTACCATCATGTCTGGCTCAAGGCATCTAATTTGTAAAGGGATACTGGATTAACAAAACATTATATGCAAAATATTTGTACCAATTGTATTTATTGCTAGAAACTTTAAACTTTTAAAAAAGTGTTTGAAAAGTAGATAACAGAAACATACATAAAGGTTGGAAGCAATCTTACATTTACAAAGTGCTGCAAATTTGATAAATCTGTATTACTGATAACTCTTAGATGAATAGATATAAATCCTTGAAATACTCAGAGTGTGACAGAAAGGAACAGAATACCTAAATGAATATAAATAAAAGTACCCTAAGAGGGAACTGAGCTTTTGTCAAATTGGTCATTAAGAGAACTGAACTTTGAGCAAACAAGTTTGCAGTGAACTGGTTTTGAAGAAATGTAGCTTTAGGTGAATTCAAGTTTCAGTCAAACTGACTGGAAGCAAAGTGTCTTGCTCCTCCTAGCGCCCCTAAACCTGAGTTCAGGAGCTGCAGTGGATATAATCTGGAATTCCACTGAAAGGTGGCCAGTCTAGAGTGGTAAACTACTACTAGGGAACCAAGTGTAAGAGTGACCTGAGAGGAAGGGGGTGACAGTGTATGTGTGCGTGCGCATGCACACCGCCACACTTACACACCCTTGTAGACCCATACTGGTGTGGGCCTCAGTGTACCTACATGGGAGTGAGGTGGCCTGAAGCTCCCTAGTCACACTACCCAGCAAGTCCACACCCACACAGGCCACTTGCCACCTCCCCAGCTAAGAAGAGCAACCAAGGACAGGCCCCCATCAGCCTCCCCAGGCCTATGAGTCCCTGAGAAACAGGCAATATGGGTCGAGGCTCACCTAGAGCTGGTCCTCATTCCCAGCAGAGAGAGGAGGAGCTTTCGTATCCTTAGAGAGGAACAGAAATGACTCCTTTAAAAAGGCCAGGGTTTCCTCTTTCTCATTTAGGTACGGAGAGAGGACACAGTGGTGAACACCTGGCTGGCCTTAGGTCTGATACCATGCGTGGGGTACAAGGGAGTGAAGTACTCATGACATCCTCTTCTCCTGTCACCCAGGGACAGAACATCACATATGCACAAACATTCACTAGAGACAGGGACCGGGATCCGATGTTCGGAAAGTCCTGGAGCCTGCCCACTGCACACACAACAGGGCCGGCCACCCCACCAGGACGTGAGCAGCTTCCTCCCCCGAAGTCCATTTGGAATGTTGGGATCTTTGGGTCTCTGGCCCTTTGGGGCTCTCCTGAGAGGACTCTTCTGCCAGCACTGCAGAGCACACTGCTTGCCTCAGCTGGTCTCGGAGGAGCCCACTAGCCAGAGGAGTTGTCAACTGTGAGGATGGCAGCAGCAGTGACTCCAGCTCAGATATATTTGGCAGGAGGCTGTCGGGCATTGAGTCGCTGCATGTGACAGCTGTGGCAGAGCAAGTGCCCATCCAGAGGGAAACAGCAGCAGCCTTCCTCATCACTCAGCTGCATTCGGCAATCCTGGGGAAGAAGATACCTAGTTCAGCTCAGCCCAGGCTCCTTGAAGACCTTTTGGAAGCCAGCCCCGCCCCACTTTGCAGGACTGAAAGGTTAGCCAGGGCAAGTTGTGTTGGCTGGTAGAAAGGATGGATGAGAAAATACTTCACTGGACACCAGGTGTCGCTGCTGCAGCAGAAATAATGAGGCAACCCCCCCCACCACCACCACTTACAGCAGTTAACCAGCAATCCCTAGTTTTAAGTGTGTGGACTGGGGCAGCCAGATTCAGAAAGTACTAAACTAGGACCTGAGAGTGGCTACAGGACAGAAAAGAGAATGGAGACAGATCACAGCACCTTCCTGATTTTGTTTTTTATTTTTTTGAGACAGGGTCTCACTATGTAGTTCAGGCTGGCCTTCAACTTGCAGTGATCCTCCTGCCTCAGCCCTCAGAGTGCTGGGATTACAAGTGTGCACCACCATGCTCAGCAGCTTCCTGATTTTCTGTGCCCTACATTTTCCATAGATGAACGGCTCTTCTAGGACTTGACACTTCCCCCTCCTTCCCAGTTCCAATTTACAGCCAACAGCCCTGGACCCCAACACTCACCTCACAGTGGTAGCACTCGAAGTGATAATCACGGTCCATGGAAATCACCCTCACAATGTCCTCACAGCCCTGAAACATGTAGACCCCCATGAGGATGAAAGCAGCATGATGACCCCCAACTCCTCCTCCCTGCCAGGGACACCTCCCGCCCCAGTAGAAACATCACACTAAGGCTTCCAGGCCCTCTCTAAAATCAAGTGAACCATCCACAGCTTTGAGATGCTTTTGCAGAACCTACTGGGGCTTCCCTCCCCCTTGCTGGTGGTACCCCAGCAGGTCCCCATGCGAGGCACTCCTGGGGGGTGTCTCACCTGCTGCTCTCAGGTGTGGGGGAAGCAGAGGGAAGGGAAAGGCACAGGGAGGTAGGTAAAGAAAGTAGGCTAAGCCAGGGACAAGAAGCTCCAGTAGGGTCCAGTTCCTCGCTAGCCTCTGGCTTCTCTCCCCAGCCCACACTCTACACATGTGACCTATCCAGCCAGCCTTGAGGGTTCTTCCACCTTTTTCCAGCCCTTACTGGGATAAAAGATATGGAGCCTGGGCCTAGCAAGGCTATCAGACACATCCAGGCCCGGATGTTGGGGTCAGAGTGGTGACCCCAAGAGCAGAGTCACACGGGAATCTTCCAAGAGTACATTCCTCAGCACCATCACTTCCCGAGGGAGGCCAGGCCACAAGTCTCCACCCCTCCCCAGAGGCAGCGGCACTGGCTGCCCTGCAGAAGAACCCAGACGCACTGACCTCCGAGGGGAGGATGGGCTGGCCACAGGCCGCACACTTCGGGGCGTAGTTTCTGAAAAAGAGAAGGTAGCAATAAGCTGAGGTTGGGGAATCCCAGGACCCATGTCCACACTGCACCCCAGGGCCAGACTCACTTGTGGTAGTCAGTGACACAGTACACCTGGTTGGAGAAATCCACGGTGAAGGGGACGCCATCCAGGCACTTGTTGCAAACGATGCATCGGAAGCAGCCTGGGTGATAGGACTTCCCCATCGCCTGTAGGATCTGGCTCACAAGGTGAGAGGAGTTTTAGTCTCCCTCAATCCCAGCTCTCCAGCTACACATTATGTTTCCCGTGCCTTCTACTAACCATATCCAACACCCTGCTGTCCTCCCACAATGCTATTTGAGGGGACCAAGGTGTCTAAAAATAAAGTCAGAAATCCTGAACAAAGTATTAGAGATCAGCCAGGCCAGTGGATTTCAATCTTGGCTACAGTTTTAGGGTCCCACCTCAAACCTTTTTTTTCATACTGGCGATTGAACTGAGGACCTTGCACTTGTGAGGCAGGTAGGTGCTGCACGAACCACTGAGCTAAATCCCCCGCCCATCCACCTCAAACCTTTTATCAAAAACAACAACAACAACAAAAAACCTTTTATCAAAATATGACCTGCTAGGTTGCCAGGGTTGAGACTTAACTGACCAAATCTAATTCTCCTTTTTTATTTTTGTATTTCTTTTTCTTTCAGTAATGGGGACTGAACCCAGGGCTGTACACTGAGCTACATCAGCAGCCCTTTTCTACCTTTTTTTTGGTACCGGGGATCAAACTTGGGACCTTGGGCTTGCAAGGCAGGCGGTGGACCAACTGAGCTAAATCCCCGGCCCACCCGTTTCTACTTTTTATTTTGAGGCAGGGTCTCACTAAGTCACTAAGTTGCCTAAACTGGACTCGAATTTGGAATCCTCTTGCCTCAGCCTCCCAGGGTGCTGGGGTCACAAGTGTGCCACCATGCCCAGCTTTTCTTTTCTTCCTTTTTTTTTTTTTTTTTGAGACAATCTCACTGTGGAGCCCAGGCTGGCCTTGAACTTGAGATCCTCCTGCCTCAGCCTCCCAGTACTGGATTACAGGTGTGGGCCACAGTGCCTGGCCCCAATCCTTCCTTTAAATGGAGAAGAAATCTGAGTTTCAGCTGATCTCAAGCAGTAGCGGAAAAGGGATTAAGACCTAGGACCCCACACTCCTTGCTCTGACTAAGGGACTGGCTGTGCCTGCAAAATCCCAGAAGCCTGGGATGGACCAGCAGCCCAGACTCCTCTCACAGGCGGAGGGAAAGCGTTGTAAACAGCTGCTCTGGGGAGGAATGGCAAAAATGTGACTCATGTGGTGATTGCTTTCCTCCCTGACCTCTCTCAGTATCCAGTTAGCCCCAGATTCCACCCATCAGGCCTGAAGCTGCTGCAGCCTCAGCTCAAGGCACTTTCCTTACCTTCTCCAAGATCAAGTGACCACAGACACAGCATTTCTCAGCTGCCTCCTGAAACCCTGAAAACTAGAGGCAAGAGAAGGAGTTACTGAGCTGGAGAGGATGGTGGAACCCCAGAGGTCCCCGTGTGGGAAGCAGCCCCAGACCCAGGGCCCTCGCTCACCAGGTAATCCTCCTCACAGTACACTGAGCCGTTGACACTGTAGAAAGCCTTGCAGCGCAAAGTTCGCCCTGGAAGCAGCAGAGAAGGGGCTGGAACCTATCTTGAGCCTGGTCCCAGGATTTCTCCCCCTCTGTGCCACTGCTCCCCAGGGGTGCACAACACATTTCAACCTGGATTCCAGGGCTGCTCCTCTTGACTGCCGGTCTCCTCCCTCCCACACACAGTCACATCTGATGCAACTCCGATTTGCTCTGGAGTCACTGCAGCTGGCTCTCTCCTCTGCTCACCATTTCCCCAACTCCTGTGTTCCCCAGACAAGCATCTTTCTCTCAGGTGCCCACCTGGGGAGCGCCTGGTAAAGGGCTCCAGGCCAGGTGCTGTGTGATTCACACGGAGAATCACATTGTCCCAGACTTTGCCCTCTGAGACCTTTCAACCTCAGGGTCTCTGCCTCAGCACAGCCCTCCTGCTCTCCTAGCCCTGTCTCCTTCCCTCTAGGGAGACTCTATGGAGGTCAGGGCACTGGAGTAGCTGCTGGGGACAGAAAGCCTTGTTTGGGTGCACAGCCATCCCTTTTCCTGCCCTATCAGGCTGCTCTTCAAGCTTGGAGGGACCCGGAGTCTTGCCAGTCCACAGCAGCCCAGGCTTTTTTACATGCAGACAAGGCAGGACCATTCCCTACCTGACCAACACCCAGGACCTCTACCACAGTGTCTAAATCATCAGGGATGATGGAGGAGGGAAAACAGGGTGGAGAATGGGCAATTTTCCCAGCTTTTGCTTCTTCCCAACAAAATCTCCTCTTCTACCTCTTCCCCGTGTTTGAGAAAAGCTGAGGAACTCATGATACAGAAGAGGAAAGAGAGACAACCCAAAGGGGCCCTATAAAAAGGACAGACAGGCAAATGAACCTAAAGAAAACCAGGCAGAAGCTGGGGGAGTGAGAAAAGCTGAGTGCTGGAGTCAGACAGGCAGAGATAGGAGATTAAAGGTTTAGCAGAAGAATCAGAATGGGTAAGCAGCAGCGGGAAGGGGTAATGAGAGAGGTGAGGGAGGCCAGGGAGGGAGAGTTAAGGCCACTGGGCGCTAGCCCCCCCAGGGCCTCCGGAGCTAACAGCAGCAGTGGGCATTCCTGGAGCGTGATGTCATCAGCTTGGCACAGCCTGGTGGCCTGCACTCCAGCGAGGTGGCTGAACTCTGACCAGCCAAGAGAAAACCCCCCTCCCAGCCCCCCATGGCTCCCCACTCCCCCAGCCCACACCCGCCCTTCCCACATTCCAGCCTTTCACTGTCGCCCCAGGCAACTCGGCTGCCCAAGACCAAACCCCACCAAGGAGAGACTGAGGGCCAGGCGGGAGTCCAGGCTGGGTGAGCAGGGAGGCAGAAGAAAGAAGGGAGACAGGCAGGAAGCTGAACAGTGGCAGGGAGGCAGAGCAGCATGGGCGAGGGGAAGCCAGAGAGAAGGTGGGGCAGCTGTGGGCTTCCACATGCTTAGTGGGGACGTGGACAGCTGCTCTGCCCAAGGAGGCCCAAGCTGTCCCCACAGCACTTATGAGGGTCTGAGTATGTGGGGAGTGCCTGAGGGGCCGCCCACACTCACCGCAGGAACAGCAGACAAAGCACTGGGTGTGGTAGAGGCTGTCCAGGGCCTGGCAGGCATTGCTCTGCCCGTAGATGCCTTTGTTGCACTTGATACAGGTGCCTGAAGAGAGGCAAGAAGTTGTCAGCTCACACCCCACTCCCACAGCTCAGATCCAGGGATCCCCAAACTTCACTGAGATTGTTCTTTGCTGATGTGCCAGAGGACACAGCTTCTCATTAATGGGTTACCTCCCTCCTAAGAGGAGAGGGTAACAAGAAATGGGATGCAGCAAGATCTTGGCTGGGCAAATTCATTCTTGTTCACTCAATTAATCAACAGTTGTGCACACCACAGTACTCAATACTGAAGAAAATTGGGAAAGTCAAAGATATGGCTCTCAGCCTCTACATGCTTGGCCTCTGTTGAGAAAACATTCAATAGACAATTGTGGGACAAATGGTCAGAGATAGCAGTCCAGGCTCAGCAGCAGACTCAAAATGAAAATAACAACTTCCTAGAGAAAGCAGGCCAGGCTCAGGAAGCCTCCTTGGGGCTTCAGTTTTCCTGTCTGTAAAACAAGCTACTGTTCAGATACAGAATGATTTCTCTCTGTACTTTGTAAGAGGTATCTCAGAAGTTCCAGGCTCAAGCCATTAGAGCCTCAGTTTTCAGAAGGCTCTGGCTCAGGAGGGCCCTGTGCAGGGGAGTGGGGGCTGCTGAGAATGCAGGTTGTGTTCAGGGAAGGGACCAGGGTTGAATAGGAAGGGGGAAAAGGTGGCAGACTCCTACTGACCCTGTGCCATCCATCACAGAGAGACAGACCTGAGCTGCTCTTCCTCAACATCCCCCCATCCAGGTGTGCTGGTGCACACCCATATTCCTAGTGCTCTGGGAAGCTGAGGCGAGGGAGAGGAAACTCTAGCACAGCCTAGGCAACTTGGTGACTTCACAAGATCATGTCTCAAAATAAAAACTAAAAAAGGGTTAGGGAATTGTCAAGGCCCTGAGTTCAATCCCCAGTACCACCAAAAAAGAAGAAAATCACTAAGATATATACACCTTGTCATGGCACCACCTTTCCTGGGTGTGTTCTTCCTCCCCTCCACTCCCCAATTCCAGGCCCATGAGTGAGGGCTAGGGCCTGTCTTTGGAGAGCAGATCCCAACGGGCCCGCCCCACCTCTCCCCCAGCACACTGGCATACTCCCTGCTTGTCTGGGCCCATCCCAGGCTTTGCCCAGGGGCTTGGGAGCCTGTGCAGCAGCTGCAGCAACTGATGGGCCCAGGCCTGCCCTGCTCCCACCCTGCAGCAGCTGGGCAAGGCTAAAGCCAAGGAAGAGGCCCCTTCCCAGGGCAGCAGTTAGAAGGGACAGTCAGCCAGGGATGGGGAATAGGGGTCTGTAGTCGTTCTGTGAGGGGAGGCAAGCTGACCCTCAGGGAGAGGAGGTCCCCACTTTTGAATTCACAATGTGGCTCCTCATGGAAGAGACTTGCCCAGAAGTGCCTGCCTGAGGGTCCCGTCAGAGCCATTCCTTGGGAAGCCTGGGACATGACCAGAAGACTATAGAGAAAACTGCTCAGGCGTGTTTGCCGCACCTCCTCTGACCCAGCATGTCCACACCTAGGTTCTTCCTGCCATTTTACTGCACTTTCTTTGAGTTCCTTTCTTCCTTTTGGCTCTGAAGGTTTGGCCAAAGAGACATCTTTCCCAGCTACCTCTCCTAGGCCTCAAAAGGAAACAGCTAAATGGGCCCTGTCACTCCGTCTCCGTTGATCAAAGTGATTTAGCATCATCGGATCTGGGCTTTCCTCTGTCCCGAGGGAGAAAAAATGGCTGGGGGCGGGGTGGAGGGTGGACTAAGCAGACCCTTCCAGCCTGCAGCCTTAACACCTCTGATCATCCTCCTCAACCAGTCTGCTCCCAGCTCCAGTCCTCTCCTTACTCACATTTCTAGCCGTGGACTCCAATAACACTGGGTCCTGGGCAGGGACATTGGTGAAGAAAGGTGGGGAGGAAAGACCTAGAAAACTGAAGAAACCCGCAGTCCTGGCAAGGGGGGGCTCGAGCTCTCCACTTCCACACCCAAATTAGCACTGCTTTACACAGTGAAGTAGTGCCTGTGGGCTTTGACTAAAGGATTGTTCAAGACCCCAATCTCCCTTAGTTGATACATCTAATCAACCTATACTTCCTGAGGGAGGGAGGGAGGCTGCATTCAGGTTTCCTTAACAATAGCAGGAAGTAAGGAGCTACTTCTAGCCAGATGTTGGGTACATTATGACCAGAACAAGACCAGGTTATTTCTGGTAGTCATGGAGGTCGGGTTCCATCCAGGGATGGTGGTGTCCTGGTAGTCATAACTTTTGCTCTGACTTCCGGAAGACGGGGAAAATAGAGGCTGGTACCACCGGGTCTCTGCTTAAATGCCCACGCGCGCCACCTCGCCAGCAGGACCGGGGCTGGGCAGTACGTGAGTTCCTGGTTTCCGTCCCCGGGCGCTCCATCCTTCCTCCCAGGCTCCACTTCCCCGACAGCCGACACAGTTCCGCGTGCGCTGGGAAGCGCCCCATTCCGCGCGCAACCCACCCCTCGGCGGGCCCCGCCCGCGGGCACCTGGAGCGCCGGGGCAGGAGTCGGCACGCACCCGGCCCGCCCGCCTCGCGCATTCCCCGAATTCCTGCGGGCGGAGCCTGGGCCCGGGTGGGGGCGCCGCGCGCCGGAGCCTGTAGGGGCACATAGGTGGGGGGGACAGGAAGGGGGATGCTCTCCCTACCCACTGCGTCCCATCCCAAGGCTTCCTAGGGCTAAAACTGAGGCTCTGTAATGCTTGAGACTGGGACTCACGAGATAATCGGGGCACTGAATTTAGCAGGAATGAGGAGCCCTGGTTCATCTAAAATCCAGAGAGAAAGGGAAAGCGCTCTGGGATCCGCCCCCATCCATTTCTCTAACCTCTTCTCTAATCCAGCGACTCCATCACTAACCCCCGGGGACCGGCAATTGGGGCCGTCGGGGCACTGGGGAGTCGAATGTGGTGCCCCCCTTCCCCGCGTCCTAGCCACGTCTGTCTCACCGAAGTAGTCCTCTCGGGCTTCCGGCTCCCGCATCCGGGCCCGGGCGGCCTCCGGAACGAACATACTCGGTGGCTCCTCCAGACCCGACGGCTCGATCCCCGAGGGTTCCCGGCGGGCGCCGACCTCTCGGCTCCCGGCGCCCGCCGTTAGGCGAAGCAAAGCAGAGAGCTCATCCTGGTATCGGGCGCCGGCTGCGCAGTCCCCGTAGCCGGTCACCGAGTGTCGTCCGGGTTGTGCCCCACGCCTCTCCAAGGGCCCTGCCGTACCCCCTCCGGCCCCAACCAGAGCACCGGGGCTGCCCAGGGCCGGGGGATACGAGTGGCGGCTTTCCTGGCAGCCGAACCCGGCGGGTCGGTGAGCGCACAGTCGGTCCAGGGCGGCGTGGAGCTCTGGGTAGGCGGACGGGGCCCCTCCAGGGGAATAGCCTCCTGGGGCCCCCGTAAGGGGTGGCCCAAACAGGCACGGTCCCGCAGGCAAGGGGCTCCCGTGGCGCTGGTCGTAGCCCATGCTGATGCCGCTGGTGCGGTTGCTGCAGGGCCGGCTTCCTCCAGCTCCGCCGGCCCCCGCGCCGTCCAGCAGCAGGCTGCCGCGGGGGCTGGACGGCTTGCTCGCGTCGCTGGCTGAGCTACTGGCGAAGCTGGAGCGGGGGCTTAGGGCCGGGGCCGTGGTCTCCAGCCGGAAATCGGGGGGTAGTGACTGAGGTAGAGGCAAGGCCCGGGTGGGCGGCTGTCCCCCGGGAAAGGAACCATCGTAGCGCTGCGCCTCAAACGAGGCGCGCGGGTTCCGCTCGGCGTCCAGGGACCCTTGCTCCCGGGCCGGCTCCAACGGCTCATCCTCAGAGCCCCCGGTGGCTCCTCGGGGCCCTGATTTCCTAGGTCCCCCCAACCCACTCAGGCGCCCCTTGCCCGGCCCGGGGGTCCCATCAGACCCAGACCGGCTAGCTTCACCCTTTCTGCGGCCGAACTTGGCGCTGCCGGAGTCCGAGAGTCTTAATTTCTCCAGCAGGCGACTGGCTTTCTCCCCTAACCGCTCCATGCCCTCGGGCCCGGGCCCTCCAGCCCCCTCCCCGCCCGGCACCCTGCAGCGCCTCGGCGGCGGGACTCGGCTTCCCCAGGGGCACAGGGCAGGCACTCGGGCTTAGCGGGCGGCCCAGGTGCCTGGCGCCGGGAACCCCGCAGCATCCCCCAGCGGGAGGGGCCGCGTCCCCCTGCGCATTGGGGCTAAGCGGGGCTGGAAGGGCTGTCCTGTCCGCAGCTCTATCTGTTCACGCGTCGACTCGCCCTACAGCCCGAGCACCGGGCCCCCGCCCCCTCTTCTCACACTCCGCTCGAAAGGAACTTCTCTTCCAAACTTTTGTCTGCCTGGCCGGATCTACTTTCCGGGAAGGGCGGAGGGCGGTGCGTCCCGCAGCTCTGGGGTGTCTGCGCAGGGATCCACGGCGCGTCGCAGGGGGCCCTGGACTAAGTGCGTTGGGGGTGGAAACCTGCGGATTGAACGGGAGAGGAGGGCAAGGGCCAGTTTAGGCAGCTGCGAGCACAACACTCCGAAACTGGAATGCGAGAATGTCGGGGGAGGGAGAAGGGGGACTCTTTGTTTGCAGTTGGAATGCGCGGAGGGACACTGGAATGTCGGCAACCTGAACTGGGGAGATGGGAGGCTGGTTCTACGCAAACACCGTGACTTTGTTTTTAGTGTCCTGACTGTGGGAGATGGGGAGAAACTGGTGCAGAAGCGGCGAGACAGGGAGAGAACCATAGAGAGGAAGACAGGGCGAAGGTAGAAAGATAGATAGGTAAAGAAGAAAGGTAGATAGATACGTAAAGAGGCCCAGGAACGTGGAGGTAAAGATAGCCCTGAAGGGTGAAGAATCCCACATGGGGAGGTGGAAGACAGCCAAAGAGAGAGCTGGGGTAAAGGCGAGTGTGGGAGGACAGAGGAAAGAACAAGTTGGTCTGGAGAGCTTGAGAGACAGAGAACCTGCAATAAAGACAGTACTTTCTGAACCCACAGTTCTGTGATGGTGGAGGAGGGTGGAAGATTTACGTGTTTGTAGAAGGAGCGAAAAGGATTGAGGAAAAGATTGGGGACTGAAAGATACCTGGGGAGGGTGTGTGTGTGTGTGTGTGTGTGTGTGTGTGTGTGTGTGTGTGTGTGTGGTGTTGTATAAAACCATCAAAGAAAAGGTTTGGGACTAATCGTTACTACCTTCAGGGTAGAAAGACAGAGGACTAGACGGACACCCCCTGGTGTTGGGAAATGAGATTTTTAGCAAATATTTCAGGTGATCATAGGGATGGAAGGTCTACTTTTAGGGCTAAACACCTCCCCTCCCCCGATCCTCCCCGTTGGTTGGTGACAAGGGTATGTATTAGGAGAAGAAGAAATAACAGAGGAAATAGCAAATGAAAGCGATCATGTAGAAAAGATACTGATATTGACCATGCTGGAAGATACCCTGGCTGAAGCTAAACACCAACTAAAATGATTTTGCTCAGACTAGCACATCAAGGACAAGAGGCCGAGGGAATAGAATGTAGAATGAATATGACTCCTTTGTATTTAGATAGTAAATGAGTATGAAAATTACATGCAAAGAAATCATGCATATTATTTTCATCTCGACACCTTTTATATTAGTGTAGCCTTAGAGAATGGGAAAAGGAAGATTAATACTTTTGGAGAAATTAATTTGGTACAAACTACTTGGCTTCTTCGTCCAGGGTGCATTGTTACTAGTGATTCTCTTTCCTGAGAATCACTCTGTTTCCCAGGTCTAGCCGGCAGCTCTTCCCAGATCCTGGGGAGTTTCCTATCAGATGGAAGCAGAGGCGACTGAAAGCGCCAGTCACAGCGCTATCAGGTTACATCTAGAACCTGTTGTGAGCCGCATTCTCAGAATTAACAATAAGGGCTTCCCTCCTTTCCTGACTCCAGATGAGATTCTTCTTCCAGTTACTTCCATATTTGATCCTTTGGGATGAAGATCAGAGAGTAAATCTTAGAAAAATTTGAGAACCCATTTGAGAGACCTACCCAGGAGCTGGTAGTGGCAACAATGGGCACAGCTGGGATAAACAGCCTGCCTTTTCAGGGGGTGATGGGAAGCAGAGATGAAGAAGTGGAGTGCTCTGATAAGGCATGATCCACAGTGTGCATGACCTCATGGTAGCCACTCCATGATCAGAGCTAGAGCTGGGAGCTCATAGGTCCTCTTCATCCCCAAGCCTTTAACTGTGATGTACATACACATATGACTCATATCTTTAGCCCAGACTTTTTTTAGACTTAAAAACTCAAATGACCACTCAGGAGGCTAAGGCCGGAGATTATAAATTTGAGGCCAGCCTGGGCAACTTAGTGAGACCCTCTCTCAAAAAATAAAAATAAATAAATAAAAAGGAAAGCCAAGCATGGTGGCACACACCTGTGATCCAAGTGCTCTGAGGATAGTATTCTAAGTTCAAGCTCAGCCTGGGCAACTTAGAGACCCTGACTCAAAAGAATATTTTAAAAGATGGGGATGTAGGTCATTGTGAAGGCTCTGAGTTCAATCCCCAGTGCCACAACAAGTAAATAAAAAATTGGGGTTGGGGATTTAGCTCAGTGGTTCTGGCACTTGCCGCTCAAGCACAAGGACCTGAGTTCGATCCCCGGTACCAAACAAAAGTAAATAAAAAATAAAAGGGCTGGGCATGCAGCTCAGTAGTAGAGTGCCCTGAGTTCAATATCCAGTATAACGCGCGCACGCGCGCACGCACGCACGCACGCACAAAAACAAAAAACTCTGTGGGCCAGGAATTTAGCTCAGTGGTTCCACTGCCTGCCTTGCAAGCGCAAGGTCCCCAGTTTGATCCCTGGTACCAAAACAAAACAAAACCTCTCAAATGACTACTAGGACCTTTCTTGCCTTCTGAAACTGGCTTCTCCGGCAGTCCTGGAGTAAACGGCACCAGTAACCACTTAGCTGCTTCAGAGATCTGAGCATCAACCCTATGTTCTCCTCCCTTAAACCCAAATCCTGTAAATCACCAAGTCCTATCAATCAATTCTGCTTCTTAAATATCTTTCAAACCTGTCCTGTCTCACTGCCACTGTACCGTGTCAGGCCACCATCTTGTCTCCTGAACCAATTCTGGAGTCTCCCAGCAGAGGCAGCTTCCTCCAGTCTGTTACACCCAGAGTACAAGTGATTCTCCTAACACAAAAAACTCTCATTTAGCTGGGGATTTAGCTCAGTGGTTCCACCACCTGCCTCAAAAGCGCAAGGTCCTGAGTTCGATCCCCGGTACCAAAAAAACAAAAAACAAAACAAAAAACCCCTCTCATTTTCCTGCTTAAAACCTTTCAGTCATTTTTCACTATCCTGAGCTAACAGCTATACTCTTTAAGGTAGCTGTTTTGTTTTGTTTTTGAGATAAGGTCTTGCTCTGTAGTCCAGGCTGGTCTTGAACTCTCTATGTAGTCGAGGATGGCCTCAAACTAATGGTGATCCTCTTGCCTCAGCCTCCCAAGTGCTTGGATTACAGGCAAGCAGCACCACACCCAGCCTCTTTTAAAGTGTTTCGAAAGGTCTCCTCTCTACCTCTCCAGCCTCTTCTGTCAGCATTATGCCCTCTCTAAACTGGTCTGCAGTAAATTAAACCTTGTCTGTACTGTCTCTTGCCTCTGGACCTTTGTACCTGCTATACCTGTTAGAAACACTTTCCTGGCTTCCTCCCTTCTCTTGGTTAAATCCTCATTTTTCAGGCATCAGCTTAAACATCATTTCCTGTGAGAAGCCTTTTGTGACTGTAGTAGACTAGCTGCCAGAGCATGCTGCACCCACCCCTCCTCGGACACCTTTGTCACAGTTCATGTCATTGCCTATTCAAGTGCCTGACTTCCTGACTACACAATAAAACCTGACTATCTAACCTTATAGTACCTCACTTCTAGTAAGCAATTAATATTTGTTGTATGACTGACTGAATGAGTATAAAGCCATTTTCTCAACCCATTCAAAGTGTATGTGTGTATGCATACCCCTTCCCCAAAATACAGCTTGGGTGACAGGACTGAAAAATAGCCATAAAGCAGAAGAAAAACTGCCAGTGAAACATGGGAATGCTTTATTCTTTAATTTCCTCATCTGTAAGATGAGAATAATAAAATCTCCCTTATACCATTCAATAAACAACAGCTATTATATCTAGATCCCGGAGTCACGTCCGTGGATGAAACTGCCCACCAGGTGGCAGTATGATGCAGGGCTAGTCCTGTTCTTCCACTGCAGCCCAAGACCCGCAAGTCCAGTGAAGCAAAAGCTGCAACCAAGGCTGCTTCCCCAGAGCTTTGGGTGAAAGGGGTGGGAGAACAGGGGTCCAACTCAGAGACCCGGGCATGTGCCAGGAAGGCCTCACGCTTCTTAGTCCCATCTTCCTTTTCTCATCCCAGGCTCCTCCGAGGCACCGTTTATACTTCGGAATAAGCATTTTCTGGCTTGCCATTTCCAGTGGGGAGTTTCCCTCCTTCCAAAGAAGTTCTTTTAGCCCACCAGAGACTGTGTTAAGAACAGAGGCAAATCTGCTTTCTCAGACTGCAGAGGGCATCTTATTTTGAGAAGCCCTGTGGCTGGCTGCCCATTTCTGGGACACAGAAGTGGCAGAAACCAGTTATTCTTGCTGACAGACTTCACTCATCCTTTTCCACCTTGATTTCAATGAATGAGTTCAAGTCAGGACAGCAGGTTTTGTGGGACTGGTCAAAAGATGGGGAGACAGATCCATTCTCGTTGCCTCCCTCTTCTTCTTCTTCTTCTTCGTCTTCTTCTTCTTCTTCCTCTTCTTCTTGGAAATTAGGATTGTAAAGTTCTGGTGGAAGGAGCTGGACCTCAGCAGAAGGCAGTCTGTCTGAGGGAGGCCCATACACACGGTTGGCTTTGGTGCCATGTTTTGAGTTAGCATCCAGGTGGTAGCAGAGCTCTGTGAGGCGCTGTGCCCGGAAACGGGGAGGCCGGGCTACCCAGACCCCCGGCTCATTCAGACTGTCCTCTTCATCTGACATCAGCTCTTCGGTCACATCTTTCCATAGGCATTGATCCTCAGGTCCAAAATGCCTCATGATACTGGATCGGTTGGCAAAAAGCTAAGAAGGAGCCCAGGACAAAGAATAGAAAGAAAAACAGACTTGATTAAATTGAGGAAAGGATTTAGGTGGGGAAGAAGGGCAGAGTAAAATCAGTACCTAAGGGAACCTAGTCCCCATGTCGTATCTTAGAATTGGCTCACCCTTCTTCTCCATCTCCCTGCATTCCTGGTGGTCAACCCTATTCTCAGATACCATCTTCTCTGGCCGTTCCCATTATGCTTGTTAAGATTTAGAGTTTAAAGGCTGGAGATGTTACTCAGTGATAGAGTACTTGCCTACCCTCCATGAGGCCTTGGTTCAATGGACAATACCACCAAAAAATAAAAATAAAAAATAAAAAATTAGGATTTAGCATCTTCAAAGAAAGTCCTAGAAACCTACCCGGTACCTGCGACTTCGAAGTTTCTTTTCTTCTTTTTCTTTCAGACCTTTAAAGGGGTTCAGAGAGTTTCGGTATTCACGCCTCTTGGTGAGGAAGTAAGCCACACAGGCTCCTGGGGAGGGGAAAGGAGAGAGCAAGAAGTAGGGTGCTCGGGCCGGGGATTTAGCTCAGTGGTTCCGGCGCCTGCCTCGAAACCAAAAGGTCCCAAGTTTGATCCCCAGAACCAAAAAAAAAAAAGAAGTAGGGTCCTCTAGAGCAGCCCTTTCTTCTGCCCTCACACTGCTGAATGGGAGGTTGGACTCACTAGACAGTGGGCTTCCTTGGCATAACCACCAGCATCTCACTAGTCCAGTCCTCTTCAGGTTAACACCCTGTGCCCCCTCCAACACTAATTTCATTGAGTATCTCCAAGTGCACAAAGACAGTTCTAGCCGGGCAGGCACAATGGTGCAGGTCTGTAATCCCCAGCTACTTGCGAGAATGAGGTAGCAACATTACGTATATAACAACATTATGTATATAAGTTTGAGCCCAGCCAGAGCAATTTAAAATAATTTTATTTTTCTCAGGCTGGTCTTGAACTCACTATGTAGCCCAGGCTGGCCTCCAACTTGTGGTGATCCTCCTGTCTCAGCCTCCCAAGTGCTGGGATTACAGATGTGAAACACTATGCCTGGCTAAAATAAACTTTAAAAAGGACTGAGCATGTAGATCAGTGGTAGAACACTCTTGAGATCAATCCTTAGTACTACTGAAAAAAAAAAAACTCTATTGCTTCTGCACCTGCTTCCACATTAAATCTATCCCTATTACCACTCTGCCAACGGCTATTTCTGGTACTTTTCAGCGGAATTTTCATAATACTTCAAAGTTAGGGACAAAAACAGAAGTGAACAAAGGAAGAAAACCCAGGACCTAATATTTAAGGACAAAAGGGCAGGCCTGGGTTCTGACCTCAGATTCAGGCCAAACATAAACATAATATATGGTGTGTTAGCCCTTTTCTTCCCTCACTTTCATTTCAGACTGAGGAGAGGAATAAAAAGGCAATTTGAGGTAATCCTGTTAACTATATTGTAGTTGAACAGAATAACCCAAAACCCCACAGTGGTTTTTTTTTTTTTGGTACCAGGGATCGAACTCAGGACCTTGTGATTTCGAGGCAGGTTCGGTGCTACTGAGCCAAATCTCCATCCGCCCCACCCCCCGTTTTTGGGGTTTTTTTGGTACGGGGGATCGAACTCAGGTCCTTGCTCTTGTGCCACAACCGCAGTGTTTTTAAATGCACTGTTTTCCACAGCACCATCATCCATCTGCATTTTGTCTCTCCTCAGAGAAGCAGGGAGCGGGAGGGGAGGGGAGAAAGGGTGAATGCAGCCAGCTCACCTTTCAGCTCCTTGTCAGTGTAATTGTGGGGACTGGTCACCAGCTCCTGCTTGAGCTTTTCCAGAAGGAACTTCACAACTGAAATATTCCAAGAGGACTTGATGCTACACAGTGGGCAGAATAGATAAGGCAATCAGCTCTCAGGAGCCAGATAGAAACACCTAGCACTGAGCAGCTCTGTGGCAAAACCTCCTCCATCTAAGAGCAGATACTAGAGGCACTGGTGAGAGTCAGGCCTCAGCTTTGCTGTACTGGAGCTTCTTCCCTGTTTCCTTCTTAGCAAAATACCCGGGGAGCTTTTTAACAAGGAACCATACCTTTCAGACCCATTGAATCTCTTCTCATTGGTGATGTGGTTATGCACATTGTGGACCAATTTCTAGAGGGGGGAAAAAAATCAGAATCAAGCCAGGAGTGGATATAATGAAGACTCCCCTCTGATCCCAAGGATAAAAAAGCATTGTCCCAGCCAGGTGTGGTGGCGCAGGCCTCTAACCCCAGCACTTGGGAAGGCTGGAGGATCCTGACTTGTAGCGCAGCCTGGATAATTTGTACAATTTGTATTATTTTGGACAGGGTCTCAAAATAAAAAGTAAACAGGGCTGTAATGTAGCTCAATGTGAAGGCCCTGGGTTTAACAACCAGCTGCCACCCCCAAAAGCATTGTCCCTGTGGGGTTCTTTGCCTAAATCCTTTCCACAGCCGAGATCCCATCTTTCTATATGCCTTTCTTAGCCAGACAGCTTAGCTAATGGGAGATTTTTTTTTTATCCTTTTCATTTTTTTGTTTGTTTGTTTTTTGGTACCGGGGATCGAACTTGGGACCTTGCACTTGCAAGGCAGGCACCAGAACCACTGAGCTAAATCCCCGGCCCTCCTTTTCATTTAATTTAGGTCAAGAGTCCAGAATCATCCCTGGCCTTACTTCCAAGAAATGTGATCACTGTAACAGTAGATCTCAAATATTTTCACAAAATACCCCTAATGGCAGGGACCAAGCAAACATATACCAGGGCTACTGCAAATCAGCTTCTTCCTCTTTTTTTTCCAGTACCCAAAGCAGTAGCACTGAGCTACAACCCAGTCTTTTGGGTTCAAATTTGACATCCTCTTGCCACAGCGTGTTGGGATTACAGGAGTATACCACCATGCCTGGCAACAAATGAACATTTCTTGAAACCTTGTACTCTTCCAAATTTTAAAACCTTCTTCAAATTACATCTGTATTTCTTTGAATATAAAAATGTCTTCTGAAATCTTCTAGTAAAATTTAAGATTTTTTTTTTTTTTTTGGTACCAGGGATCAAACTCAGGTCCTTGCACTTGCGCAGCAGGCAACGAAACCACTGAGCTAAATCCCCGGCCCATCTTCTAGTAAAATTAATGACCCAGGAAAATGCCCAGCTTTGGCTATGGCTTTATATATCCTTTCACACATTATCATCAGTCCTTGAGGTACACATACCATGGTCTGAAAACAAAAATCTAAAGTAACAGGAATGTGAATTGGACAGCATGTTGAGGGCTCTGCCACCAGCTACATTTCATGTCATTAAGCAGGCCGTCTTTCAGTTTTGCTCATACACATCTAATGAATGTTTCTGTTTTTTGAATCAGGTTTTTCTATTGAACATCTTGAGGGTATTTGCTTTGTTTTGTTTTTTAGACAGGGTCTCACTATGGAACCCATGCTGGCCTCGCACTTGCAATTATCCTGCCTCAACCTCCCAAATGCTGAGACTAGAGATGTGTGCCGCCTTGCCCAGCTTAATGTTTAAAACTTTTGCCTTACACGCTCCAAAATCTGATTCCCATTTTTCCCATACAACCATCAGAAATAGGAGACTCTCTGCTTTGCCTGTGTCTCTCTTATAAACTGGCACCTGTAGCTGAATCTAACTCATCAGATGAGGTCTGGCCAGAGAGAGCATTACTTCCCTGAGTAGAACTCTAAACTTCTATGAATAAAACCCAAGATAGTGCCACCTTTTTTTCCTTTTTTTTTTTTTTTTTCGTTACCAGGGATTGAATTTAGGACCTTGTACTTGCCAGCAGGTGCGGAGCCACTGAGCTAAATCCTCAGCCCCCTTCTTTTTATTTTAAGTACAGTACTGGGGATCGAACCCAGGGCCTTCTAAAATCTTCTAGAGAGCCCTTTTTATTTTTTATATTGAGACAGGGTTTTGCTAAGTTGCTGAGCCACCCCAGGTGTGCTTGAACTCAGGATACTTCTGTCTCAGCTTCCCAGTGTGCTGGGGTTACAGGCACACAGGCGCCACCATGCCTAGGGACTGCTACCTTTTTTAGCAACCCCATGCCCATTTACAATATCATAGGGTTCATTCTGCAACTTGTACTTTGATCTTTAATGCAGCATTTTACATTTCCTTCTGTTAAATTTAATTTTGTTTTTTCTGATTATATTTTCAGATTCACATCCTGACCTAAGGGTTCAGCTCTATATCCAGTAATCCTCAACTTATCTTCCTGCCTCCATGTTGAGTTCCCATACTACCGAGGAAAGTACTATTAGTTCTTTACAGCTAGGTCTCCACTCTATAAAAAGGACTGTAATTATACTGGCTTTATATTTGAGTTACTTTACCCTCTGAGAAGTCCAAGGACTCACAAAAAAATAAATGAATGCAAGAATTTGGGAGAGTTTCCCAACAAAAGAAAAAAAGAAGTTGCATAGCTTCTAACTCAAGTGGTTTGGAAGAGATGAAGTGATAAAAATCAAACTAGGCTTGAAGTGGAAAGGGAAAATACTCTAGACAATAAGTGTTAAGACTGCAAAGGCTGCTGGCTCTTCTATCTCCTGAGTGAGCTAAAAATAAATACATTTCCTTAAGGGATGTATGGGATCTGCAGCATTCCTAGGATTTAAGGGTTCTGGTTTGGTCCTTCTGGTTTACAGGATCCTACCAGCAATCCACAGGAGCCCCAGCAGATGGAAGAGATGCCTCTCTGATTTCTTCCCAGAGCTAAAGATTTGAATAGTAAAGACTGAAACTAACCCTCCTCCCCGCTCCCCCTACAAACCTACAGTCTAGCACAAGAAAATATATATATATATATATGTGTGTGTGTGTGTGTGTGTGTGTGTGTGTGTGTGTGTGTGTGTGTGTGTATATATATATATATTATTTTGTACCGGGGATTGAACTCAGGACATTGTGCTTGCAAGGCAAGTGCAGCGCCACTGAGCTAAATCCCCAGCCCCTAGCACAAGAATATTTTAAACCTTGCTCTATGACGGGCAGGAATATTCCAACTGGCCCTCTAGATACTTTTCAAGCATGATAATAGGGAGGATGATGAGCAAGCAGCTGTCTTGCCACAAGGTCCCCAGATCCACTGAACTCTCCAAAGAGAAGGAAGAGGCCAAGTCTCAGGGCTGGGAGGTGTGGCTCAGTGGTACAGCACCTGCCTAGCATGTCCAAGGTCTTCCGTTCAATCCCCAGTAACAGGAAAAAAGAAAAGCCAATTCTCTAAACTAGACTTCTCTCTGGAGGCAGGCAGGAGTGGAATGGAAATGATGGAAAGTCCTGATTTTATACAAATTATTATTATCACATATTTATTTATGATTTAAACATGATGAAGTTTCAGGAAATCCCTTGAAATGCATTTCTAGGCTTATTCCTTCATTCCTATTACTGGCAGCAGGAATGGGCCTCTTGGGCCATAGATCTGTGACAGAAACTAAACTCAACCCCTGTTCTTGAAAAGATGTCCCTGAACGTAATCAAAATTCAAAATGAAGGTTAGAAACAAGTTGATACTGATAATGAACGGTGTCTTCCAGGAGAAAAGAGAATCTCTGATGCAAAAACAAATCATATGAAAGGAAGTACAGAATAAGATCTTTCACAAAAAAAGAAAGAAGCAGCACAATGATACATAAATGATGATCAGCTCTTTTCAGTCTTTCCTCAGACTGTAACAAGAAGGAATGGGCTACAATGGTAGGATGGAAGTTAGGCTGGCTGTGAGTGAGGAGATGCACTCCCAACCAGGACTCTCATTACTTCACAGTCATTATGCAGAGAGTGGAAACATATTACAGTCAACAGATATACGGCTAAAGAACATCTCCATGGTTATAAGAAAGAAGATCTGGGGCACACAATTGATCCAAGACTGTGGTCATCCCAGGAGAAGGTTTCCCAACTCTGAACTACTGATGTAAGCTGGTACCTATGGGCACTGGAGGGTATTGTAGGATGGTCAGTAGATTACCTGGCCTCTACCCACTAGATGTCAGTAGTATTCTGCCCTCCCTGGAAATATCTCCAGTGGGTTCCCAATGTTTCCTGGGGGCAAAAGTGCCACAAGTTGAGAACTATTCCCCTAGAAGATGTCTAGGTTTGGGTCAGTTGCCAGGCTGGGAGCTCCCAATGGAGCAGGATGTTCTTAGTCACTCTTGAGAAGGTTTCATGCATAACTTAATCCAAGCCAGTCCCTTTCCTGCCAAGAGCTCTTGTAATGACTACATTATCCAAATCTCTATAACTGAGCTGAGTGTACAGAGGCCTCCTACACCTTGGGGTGTGGGGCCACCATACGACAGTCTGACTTTCCCACCCTAGGGGCCCCCTGCTGCTGACCCAACACACTGGCCAAAGTGCAACCGTTTGGTGATTATCTGCTCAATCCCTTAGAGGTTTTCCAAAACATCAAGATTATGGAACACTGGGAGATGTAATGTGATTCCCTTCTTATGAAAGGGAAGATATCATTTTTTCTAGAGGAGCCTACAAGTTTGACTGATATAAAATGTACTACCTATCCTCGGGGCTGCAGAATGCTCTCTCCTTGTCTCTTTCACTCCAGTAACATTTGGGACACCATTCACTCTGTATGGGAGGCTTAAAATCCACCCACCCTTCACGATTCACTTCTCTCTCCAGACTGCAGAAACAGAGCTCACTTACAGAGAGAACCAGATCCCGCTTGCGCCTGGAGTTCTTCTGCCCGCTCACTCGAGTCCTGCACGGGGAAGCAGTGAGCCCAAGGGAGTGTCTCAGGTCCCCGGTGCTCCCAGGGCCAGACTCTTCCAAGGCACTGTCCAACGCAGCAGCAGCACTGAGCATGTCCTCAGGACGAGGTGGTGGCAGCTTGGCTCCATTCTCTGGTCCTGTCTCTGAGGACGCCCGCTGGATAGCCAGTTGTGTGGCTGGAGAAAGCTGTTTGGCATAAGCAGGAACAAGCACTCGCTGTACTGCACCCTCACAGGCCACATAATCATCCACCAGCTAAGAATAGAAAAATGAATGGACTATTAGCCAGCCAGGCACAAGGGAACCTAGTCAACCACCATTCTTTGGGCAAGACTAGTGCACAGAGAGTGGAAAAAAGAGGGGAACTAAGCAGTCTTTGATGCTCAATGGCTTGTTACTCTGGATTCCTATGGGATAGTGGGCAAATAGTTTTTGTCTATATTGTACAGGGTTGTTACCATAGGGCTACTTCCAAGGACAAGGCAGGTTTTTGATGCTCTATCTGTGAGCAGTCTTTTATGGCTTGTTCTTGAGTATAAGAAATGTAGCAAGGTAAGTGTTTTATCTAAAAGGGATTAGGGAAGGAAGTGATGGCAAGAAAGGAAAATCAAACAAGAAAGGAGCAAGAAAATTAAATAGTAGCAACAGTAAGGAGGGGAAACAAAAGGAAAATGAGAGAAAAGCAGGGAAACAATGTCAGGAATCCCTGGAGAGGCTGGCACAGGTGAATTCCCCTCACCTACCTTCCATTCCCTTTGAGGGGCAGTCTGGGCCCTCACCTTGATCCTGGCCTGGTCACATTGGGCTGTCCCAGCCCTGACATCGAGCTGATTGCCTGTGCCCTCACTCAAGGACACACAGGGCGGGGAAAGGAAGCGGGGAGCAAGGCAGAGAGGGAGAAGGACAGGAGGGGAGATTTCTCCAGCCAAGAAAACAAAACAGTGAAAGTGGGGGGAAACCACACACAGAAAGAACCGGGGGAGGAGGCTGAGATTTATAGACCTGTGAGCTTCTTTCTGCGCTGTGAAATCTAATTCCATCCTGTCGGCTTGGAAGCCTTCCCTGCCTGAGCAAACCCACAGCTCAGGGCATTGCCTGGCCTGGTACCTCCTGACTCCTGCCTTCCAGTTCCTCTTCCCACCAGCCCAAACCACTGAGAGTCCTGACCAGGGACCCACGGAGGGAGTGAGCAGCAGTGACAGTTACCACACGAGCTGTGCCTTTGGGCGAGCAATGGCCAGTGGCCAATTAGACTGGAGGGAAGAGGGGAGGGTCTACATTCACTCCTCAGCCCCAGCAGATGGACTGGGAGTCTCCTCCCTCTCACCCATCCTGTGTATTCTTCTCCGTGCTCCTTCTTGAGCGTGGAAGCCTTGTCCAAGGAGGAGGGAGAGGGCAGTGGAGAATGAGGTGGAAAGCTGACAGACCTCCTGCCAGCTCCCAAGTGGCGACACATCTGTTATTTTTGTCTCTATGATCTCTATAGTTGCTCCATCTCCTTTTCATGCTTCCATGTGTGACATTCTGCAGTTCTTACTCTACTCAGCCAGGATTTTCCTGCTCATACGGCCCTTGAGCAGTAAAGAAACTGAAATAGTACCATGTCTTTTCCTGCTCACTGAATATGCTCGCTTGCTCCTCCTTTGCTTCCTCCTTTGCTTGCTCTTCCTCCCTCCATGCCATCCTCTTATTATTCACTTTCAGCCGTCCATTTCTTTTGCTACACCTTCCCCCCTACCTCATCTTTCCCATATAAATCCTCCTCTTTCCACAAAGACCCATTTTTCTTCTACGCTTTTTTCTTTTGTTCTTTTCCTCTCATTTCTCCGTGTCTCTTCCCCTCCCCATGCCTGCCTTTTTTTACCCTTGCCCTAGTCCTCTCCCTCTCCCTTTCCTTCTCTCTGCCCCTGTCCCTCCCCATTCCCATCTCGCCATACCCAACTCTTCTTGGCAGGCAGAGGGCCCGTGATAAAATATGAATGAGCCGTCTGTGCACGGCAGGCATTCTCGCCAGGAGAGGCAGGGCCCGTGCAGCAGCTAAGACAGCTGTGAGGAGAAGGTGCCACGTGGAGCAACTGCGAGGGAGGGAAGGGTTCGCCAGCGTCACACCGGCCCCAAGCCACCTGCCCAAGAGGCCAGGTCAGGAAGGAAACGGGAGTGTCACCCATCCCTGAAGACAGAGGAAACTTGGTGCTCTTGTTTTATCACAAATAAAAGAAAGGCTTGTAGATGGAATGAACGTAGAGAAAGAAGGGCAAGAAAGGCCAGGAGCAACTGCATTGCTGTCTACTTACAGGATGCAGCAGCGGGGGACCCTCGCTGGGGGCCAGGGTGCATCCTGGGAGCCTCAGGTCTCTCTGAGGGGTCGGGAAGCCCAGAGGCCCAGGCCCCACGGCTGAGGCTGCCCCCAGCAGCTCCTCGATCACCACCTGCACGCTGCTGCCCACGCTGTCACACTCCTCCTCCACAGCAGACAGAGTCTTGCAGGCTTCTCCGGGACTCTCCTTGAGGGGCCCAGGCTCCTCAGCTGGGGGACTGTGGGCCCGGCTCTCCCCATCTTCATCAGGGTTACACACTTTCCCTTGCCTTAGTTCACCCACTTCCTCCTGGAGCCGCTTTAACAGCTCATTGTTGGCCCGGGCAAGACCCAGAGCAGCCTCAGCCAGCCCCACTGCCTTATCCACGCGCTGGTAGATAATATGTAGGAGCTGCTCAGAACTCTGAACAGCCAGGCCATGTCCAGTCACTGTGATGGGGGTGCCAGGAGGAGGGTTCCTGCCCTGAGAGCCTGCGCTGGCCCCGCTCGGCTCACTTTTACAGGCACAGCAGCAGCATCTGGCCTCACTGCCACTGGGAGGGGAGAAGAGAATGGTGGCACTGAAGGACATGGCTGATGAGCTCAATGACAACTATGCTCACACCCTGGACGGCTCCAAAAGGGCCTCAGGTCAGTGGACTTCCAGAGGCTGAAGCACTGGCCTCTTCAGATTCACTTTGCTTTCCCATGGCGGATGGTCAGAGGAGCTGCAGCTCCGGGCCATAGGTTATGTGAGGGAGGACTGGGCCAGCCGTGAAGGGGCACACAGCCCATGGCTGTGGGGAGAGATGCCCCCTTCTACTGGCAGATCCTGTGCTCCCCTAGCACAGCACACTGGGTGTCACACTCGTTCCCTACTAGCAGGGGACTTCTGAGGAGGGCAGCTTCAGAGGGTGGAAGGCATCCTTCCTGAACCCACGCACGGAGTCCCCCACCACTGCATCCTAAGAAACAGAGGGCACTCAGAAGGCCCTGCCAGAATCTGGAAAGATAAGATTAAGGAAGAAAATGAAGATCTGTCTCTTCCTCCTCCTTTACTGTAATGACAACACTGCATTTTAATGTTTTAAGGACTTTAGAACACTTCATGTAGGTTATCCCATCTACACAACATCACTAGGAAACATCACTTGAGATATCCAGAGAAGTTATGTCTTTTTCAAGGTCAGAGGAAGTTATTGCTACTTTCAATCTAAGCTGTATCCTTTCATTTTAAAAAAAATTGGGGGACCAGGAATTTAGCTCAGTGGTTCTGTTGCCTGCCTGGCAATTGCAAGGTCCCAAGTTCGATCCCGGGTACCAAAATAAATAAATAAATAAATAAATACTTTTTTTCTTGTTTTTATCTTTTTTTCTTTTTTGGTACCGGGGATTGAACTTGGGTCCTTGTGGTTTCGAGGCAGGCAGTGGAACCAGTGAGCTAAATCCCCAGCCCTTGTTTGTATCTTTTTAAAACTGATACCACTCTTTGTTGACATAAAGAATCATTATTTTATTCTCTGTATAATTTCCATACGGATGCATGGATTCAGAGTAAATTTCCCAAATAAAGAATTTATCAATCACTACAAAACTCAACATGTCACCAACATTTCGCTATTATATCACTAATGCTTTGGGGATGAGGATAGGGAAAGAAAAGCTGGATCAGGGACTTGGCCTGGGGTGACCCAGAGCACTATCATAACTTTGTTCCCTGAATTGTATGTGGGCCACCAGCCCCTCCCATCTTGAGTCCATCAGCCGGCAGTCCAAGGAGATCACTCCTTGGGTCCCTCATCTCCACTCTGCTCCTTAAGGGAAGAGCTAAGGTTCCACAGGAATAACTAAGGAGCAAGTGTGGCCTGTCCCCCCACAGGCCCTTAGACAAGCAGAAAGTAGGATGTCGCTGATGAACAGGCTGCCTCTCTTTGGAATTACTGTAGTTAAGCAACTAAACTACTCCAGGAGAGAAAAAGGGATTGTGGTGGGGGTTTTGATTTGTAACACTGAGAATAGTCCAAGAGACTTAATAAATATGGTCATTTTCTAAATGATACTTGATTATAGAAAAAAGAATCCTCTGTCTGAAGCTTCGTAATTGACAAAACCTTAAGAGTGTTTACAAATCCCTGACAGACACACTTCTATTTTATTCTGTATATTATATCATAACATCAAAATTAAAAGGAGAGAAGGAGGTTAGGGGAAAAATATATATATATAAATATGTATGTATTTTGAATCAGCAAACTCATTTCAGAAACAGGCAATACCAATGCCTCTGAGGTACTAAGACATAAATCTGACAATGCCTTTTAATTACATTTGGTTATTAAAGAATAGTCTTTAATTTGTTCTTTTCACCCTTTATATTGAAGAAACAGCTTTTCTATGCCAGATACTCACTTCTTGCAAGAACTTAACTCAAATCCATTTACAGCTTTCCTGTCATTAGAGTCACTGGAAGGCATAGCTAAACCTGAAACTAAAGGTTAAACCAAATTAAAACTAAAGGTTAAAGGAAAGCACTAAGCAATTCTATGTCGATTTATGGATGGATCATTTATGTAATGTATCCTTTTCCATCCTAAATAAGGGCCTACACTTCTCTTGCAGATTTGTTTCTTGCTTTTGTTTTTTTTTGGTACTGGGGATCGAACTCAGGTCCTTGCGCTTGTGTAGCAGGCAGCAAAACCACTGAGCTAAATCCCCGGCTCTCCTGCTTTTGTTTTGACACCAATATTATAAAAAGAATTTAATCTTAATTCCAGACTCCCCCTACGAAAACACATAAAAGACCCCCAGTTTCCAACTGTATTGTGTCTCATTTCTCTGAGCACCTGAACTCTGCTATCTACCTCAATAAATCCTTCTCATGTTTCTTAAAAAGAAAAAAAAAAAAATTTAATCTTAAACATGGATACTGTGAGAAAAAGAAAATTATGTCAGTGATAGTAGATGATAGTGTAAATATGCTGTGGGTTGTTTATTGGGTTTTTGGTTGTTTTTGTTTTGCAGTGCTGGGGATAAACCCAGGGCCTTGGCATATATTACACCGAGTTCCTCCCCGGCCCCAAACACTTGCCAGCTGGGTTCAGTATTTATAGTCAGTAATTAAGACCCATCAGGTTGGGACACTTGGTAGGTTGTCCATTCCATTTCTGCTGAGTTCTCTGGGTGTTGTTTTTTTTTTGGCACTGGGGATCGAACTCAGGTCCTTCTGCTTGCGAGGCAGGTGGTAGCACCACTGAGCTAAATCCCCAGCCCTGTCCATTCCATTTCTGATATCAAAGTGGCAACTGCTATACTTAGTTCTCTTTTCTTGCACTTAACTTCTTGCAAGAGGCCTTCACCACTAACAGTATTATGCCCGCCTCAAGACCTTCTCCTCTCCTTAAATGGGGTTTCCTTTGTCATCTTTTTCTTTTTTTTTTGGTTGTTTTTGAGACAGGGTCTCACTGCGTAGTTCAGCTGGCCTTTAACACTATGCAGCACAGGCTGGCTTCAGTTTTGGGGGTTTTTTTGGTACCGGGGATTGAACTCGGGTCCTTGCACTTCCGGGGCAGGCAGCAGAACCACTGAGCTAAATCCCCAGCCACAGGCTGGCTTCAAACTCACAGCAATCCTCCTGCCTCAGGCTCCTAAGTGCTCGGGTTACCCCATGCACCACCACACCTGCCCAGCTCAGTCATCTTCTGAAATAGCACTAAACTGGGGATTTTTAAAAAAAGAGGCAAAGCAATAGCATTCTAGGATGGTAAAGCAGGAGTATCACAAGTTGGAGGACAGCCTGGGCAATTTAGCAACAGTGTGTCTCAACATAAAAAATAAAAACTGAGTTCAAGGCCAGCCTGAACTATACAATGAGGCCCCATCAGAAAAACTAAAATAATAATAATAGAAGGACTGGAAATGCAGCTTAGTGCAAAGACTTGGGTTTAATCTCTAGTACCACAAAGAAAGAAAGAGGAAGAAAAAAGAAAGAAAGAGAAAAAGAGAGAAAGAAAAAAAAGGAAGCTTCTTAATCTGCTTCACTATGAGCCATGTGAACTTGAGCAGATCATTTCACTATCCTGAGGCCCAGTTTTCCTATCCCTGCCTGCTTTGAGTGTTTTTGTAAAGCTGGTCCCTAATGTACTACATAAGGCACCTGCAGCATGCTGGCACGTGGTCAGTACTCCACAAATGGCAGCTGGATGATTTATGATTAACCCTACAAGTGTGTCCTCACACTGACGCACATCCTGATTCCCTAACCTTGAACAAGATGCAATGCCTTGAAACAGAATTTCAAGAAATTTACCTCTGAATTTAACACTGAATTTCTAAGAAACAACAGATTCAAGTTTACAAAGCTTCATTTATAGGTACAAAACTTTCCATAATCCAAATTAGAAAGGTAATTAAGAAAACTATTCCTGGGTTGGAGATTTAGCTTAGTGGTTCCAGTGCCTGCCTGGAAAGCACAAGGTCCCGAGTTCAATCTCCGGTACCAAAAAAAAAAAGAAAACTATTTCTAATTTACTTACTATCATGACCTGGCCTTAGACTAAGGATAATACTTAAGTCTCCTGGTCTTTAATGTTAAATATATTTTCCTTTTGTGAGTTCACTTTGTTTCTCAATTTCTTTCCTACTTTTGTATTGCTATATTATGTCCATTTAAAAAAATGTCACATAAGGTCCCAAGTTCAATCCCTGGTACCAAAAAAAATTTTTTTTTAATTTAAAAAATTAAAAAAATAAAAAAAGTCAGAATAAAATAAAAATTTTAAAAAATTAAAAATGTCACATTAAGGGCATTAAATAGTTGTTTTCATGCTATCCAATTAAACATGTAAAAATAAGTTAGAAAATAGCTGTTTTCTTGAATTAACTTGTCTATAAAAACCTGGTACAGTGCAGTGTAGCACAATGTGCATTCAAATGACTCTTTTGGTTTCCATGGACACCATAGCTGACTTAATTTCCCTGCTTCCTGCTATAGTCTTCCACCTAAAGTCTAAGACATAGAAAGAAATTGGGGTCAGCCAGAAATAAAGGAATATTTCACATTATATTTACTAAGCACATAACAACTTAACTGCTAGATAAATGATTACAAATAAAACAAAATACTAATATCATTAGCTGTATATATCCCCCATTAGAGCAGACAAGCAAATGCAAAAGGGAAAAAATGGTGTTTCCAAATATCCTCTGTACATAGGGTAATGCTAAAGGACAATCCAGCCGGCAGTGGCGGCACACATCTATAGTGCCAGCCCTCAGGAGGCTGAGGCAGGAGGCTTGCCACAAGTTCAAGGCCAGGCTAAGCTACATAGCAAGACCCTGTGTCAAATACAAACAAAAACAAAGCAAAATATACAAGTGCCTAAAAATATAGTATAGACTGAAAACTCCTGAGGAATAAGTTCAAAATAATGAAAAGATTAATAGAATGAAATCATCTGAGAACAAGTTTTTATCAAAGCAAAACCTTCAATCACCTTGAGCAGTGTATAGGATGAACTACAAGCTGGTGGGACATTCTATAGAGAAAACATATTACAGGATTTAACAGGGTACATGCAAGAGGTCAGAACACAGGGCCTCTCTATCGTGGTAAGGAGAGTTGCCAGGGGGCCTTGAAACCAGGTTAAGGAGACTCAGAACAGGGGCCACAAAGCACTGAGAAAGATCAGACAGTGGACAGTTTAGAATTTGTGGGCCAGTGGTTTCTGCCACAACTCCTGGACTCTGCCACTGTGGCACCAAAGCTTTCACGGACGATATGTAAACAATGGCTATGTTCCAAGGAACTTCATTTATACCCAATGAAATGTCACAACACTTAAATGTTAAAGCCTTTCCTAGCTGGGAGGCCATACAAAAACAGGTGGCAGGCTGGATTAGGCTATGGGTTACAGTTTGCCAACCCCTGCCTTAGATACCTTAAGTGGAACAGTTAAACATTAGGAGATGATTTAAGTGACCCATGAATGAGTTAATGAGAAGGGGGTTGTGGAGATGAATGTTTGACATCCTGGAGGAAGAACTGATATTCCTTTAGTTAATAAATTTGGGGAACAGAGACATTCGTTAATGACATCTTCAAAATTATAAAGCCGGAAGTGGTGGCACATGAAATCCCAGGACTCTGTAGGGCTGAGGCAAGAAGATCCCAAATTTGAGCCCAGCCTGGGAAATTTAGGGATTTAGTAAGACCCTGTTTCAAAAATGAAAAATAAGCTGGGTATGGTGGTGCATACCTGTAATCTCAGCACTAAGAAGGCTGAGGCAGGAGAAGCACTCTGAGTTCGAGGCCAGCCTAAACTCCTCGGCAAGACCCTGTCTCAAAAAGCGAAAACCAGGGTTGAGGATTTAGCTCAGTGGCACTGCACCTGCATTGCAAGCGAAAGGTCCTGAGTTTAATCCCCCATACCAAGAAAAAAAAGCCAAAATCAAAACAAACAGGATGGGGATTTAGCTCAGTGGCACCACCCAAGGTCCTGAGTTTGATCCTCGGTACCAAAACAAAAAACAAAAAACAAAAAACCAAACAAAAACAAAGAAAAAAATATATAAAAGGGCTGAGGATGTAGCTCACTGTGAAGGCTCTGGGTTCAATCTCTTGTATTGCAAAAAAATGGGGCCAGGGATTTAGCTCAGTGGTTCCAACACCTGCCTTGAAAGCACAAGGTCCTGAGTTCAATCTCAGGTACCAAAAAAATAAAAATAAAAAGATTGGGGCTGGGGATTTAGCTCAGTGGTTTCGCTGCCTGCTGTGCAAGTGCAAGGACCTGAGTTTGATCCCCAATACAAAAAAAAAAAGATACTGTATGTATTGGAAAAAAATGAAAAAAATATATATATATGCCTGAGGGTCACACACAAGACGGTACCACTAACAAAATAACAGAAATGAGGCAGTTGAGATCAGACCTAGTACCTTAGGAAGAGTATGTGTTTATTTAACATGTTAAATTTCCACTGATGGGATTAAAGATCTAAATATTAAGACAGCAGAAACACTAAACTGGATGGAAGATAAGTTAGGTAAAACTCCTGAAGACATTGGCATAGGAAAAGACTATGAACAAAACCTCAGTAGCACGGGAACTGGCAACTGGGAATCAACAACTGGCATCTCATCTTATTAAAAAGCTTCCGCACTGCAAGAGAAACCACCAACAGAACTAAGAGACAACCTACAATGTGGAAAAAAATTTTTAGCAGCTGTACCTCAGACAAAGGACTACTATCTAGAATATATAAAGAACTAGGGCCGGGGATTTAGCTCAGTGGTTTTGCCGCCTGCTGTGTAAGCACAAGGACCCAAGTTCAATCCCTGGTACCAAAAAAATAAAAAGAAATAGAATATATAAAGAACTGAAAAAAATCAGACCCCCCCCCCCAAATTCAAAGGCTCAATTCAAAAATGGGCATTGAAATGAACAGACATTTTTCAGAAAAAGAAGTAAAAACAGCAAATAAATATATGAAAAAATGTTCAACATCACTGGTCATTCGAGAGATGCCGATGTAAACAACACTGAGATTCCACCTCACCCCAGAAAGAATGGCTGCTATTAAGAAATCAACCAATAACAAATGCTGGTGGGGGTGTGGGGAAAAAGGAACCCTTCCCCATTTTTGGTGGGAGTGCAGACTGGTGCAACCACTGTGGAAATCAGTATGGAGACACCTCAAAGAACTAGGACTCAAGGTCCCATTTGACCCAGCTATTTCCCTGCTGGGGATCTTCCCCAAAGAATTAAAAGAATCTTACCACTGAGATATATGTGTACCTATGTTTACAGTGGCACAGTTTGTAATAGCTAAAGCTTGGAAACAGCCCAAGTGCCCATCAACTGGAAACTGGATAAAGAAGATGTGTTTTTTTTTATAAAATGGAGTATTACTCAGCCATAAAGAACAAGAAACTAGAGTCATTTATAGCTAAATGGATGAATATTGAGGCCATACTCTTAAGTGAAATAAATAGAACACACATGTGTAAATACCGAATAGTTTCTCTAGTGTGAGAAAATGAAAGTGTAAATAAGGATTAAAATGATTAAAATGAATAGTTGATAATTTTAAATAGGAAAAAAGGTCCAAAGGTGTAGGGGTGGTGGGAGGGGAAGGGGAAAGGAAAGAAGGGAAAGGAAAAATTATGAGAAAAGAAAAAAAAATGGAAACGAAATCTATGTAAATAGGGAAGGGTGGAGAGGGTGAGGGGTGCACAGCTAATGGGGAAAAAATAAGAACCAAGATACATCATGTACAGGTACAAACACCCAATGATAAATGTAAACAAACTGTATACCTAAAATGTACCAATAAAAGAATTTAAGGAAAAAAATAATTCCCACTGATGGCAACATCTTTAAGTATAATGTCCTAAAAACAACTGAGAAAGAAACAAATAAAACAAATGAGTAGATCTAAAAAACAATAACGAGAGGAAGGTCAGAGTTGGAACGGAGATTTGAAGCTTTCCCCAGAATTAGCACTGAAACTAAGGTAGCGAATGAGCTCTCCAATCATAAGTGTCCTGTGAGACACAAAAGCCAAGTGCAGCACTTCAAGCCAATCCAAGAGTTTCATTAAAAGAGAAGCTTGAAGAAAAAAAAAAAAAGAGAGAGAGGGGGCCGTGGATTTAGCTCAGTGGTTTCGCTGCCTGCCTCAAAATCACGAGGTCCTGAGTTCGATCTCCAGTATCAAAAAAACAAACAAAAAAAAACCTGTTAAAGGGCTGGAAATTTAGCTCAGTGGCACAGCACCTGGCAAGGGCAAGGTCCTGAGTTTGATAACCGGTACAAAAAAAAAAAACCTGTTAAAATTCTCTCTCTCTCTCCTGGGAACTGAACCCAAGGCCTCTCACATGCTCCCACTGAGCTGCATCTAGCCTTTCTGTTTTATTTTGGGACAGCATCTTGCTAAATTGCCCAGGTAGTCCTTGAACTTTTGATCTTCCAGCCTCAGGTTCCCAAGTATCTGATTACAGGTATGGGTCACCTCACCCAATTTAAATTCTTCTTTTCATGTGGGGGACTAATGTAATACATTTACTGTAATACATTTTTAATTTTAAAAATTCTGTCTTTTCATTTTTTTTTTTTTTGGTACCTTTTTTTTTTTTTTTGGTACCAGGGATCGAACTTGGGTCCTTGCGTTTGCAAGGCAGGCGGCGGAAACACTGAGCTAAATCCCCAGCTGGGTCTAATTTTAATACATGTGAAATTAGCCTAGAAAATGTACTTCTTGATAATTTTGATGTTTCATAAATACTTAGATAAAAAAGAAAACATCTCCTTTAGACAGTTCAGGGTGAGACTATTCATAATCTTTTTTTTTTTTTTTTTTTTTTTTTTTTAAGAAGTAACACTTTGGGCTGGGGATTTAGCTCAGTGGTTCTGCCACCTGCCTCGAAAGCACAAGGACCCAAGTTCAATCCCCAGTACCAAAAAAGAAGTAACACTTTATCGCCATAAAAATGTTGGTCTTCTCGGGCCAGGGATTTAGCTCAGCGGTTCCAGCGCCTGCCTCGAAAGAGCAAGTTGCCCCGGTACCAAAAAAAACCACACACACACACACAAAAATGCTGGACTTCTACAAAACCCACAGTGCAAAGACGGTCTGGTAAATTCAAGATTTGTAAAAACTATGCACAAAACCTACACAATCTGAGGAAAGGGTAAATATTTATACCAGTAGCAGTTTTAAAAACGTAACTTTGTTCTATCAATTATACATTAACATACACACACTAACTGAAAATATGCTAAAACAATGTCTGGAAAAGCAGTTTAACATTTTCTAAGTGGACTTCACCCCACATTTACTGTGTAATATAGCTGTTAATACTGCACAAGTCCAATTAGCACTAACGTTTAATAACTTTTAAACAAAGGTAAAGGGATTTTCTCCCTCAAGTTTTAAACATCAAAACCTATGCTTCTAAAAATTTAAAACTTTCAGCAGTCTAAATATTTCAAATGAAAACCATTACAAACTTCTCAAATGTTCTTTATATTGCAGGTACTATATATCAACCTAGTTATCCACTGAGACTGTTCATAATCTTAAACATCCCTCTCTCCTGAGTCACATGTATTTTTGTTGGGACTGAATATATCATACTCTTGCCAGTACCCTTGCTTGCTTTCTCCCCATTCTGAGTTTGAATTTTCTGCTTGACTGAGTTCACCTCCAAACTATGAAAAATAAGTTTTCTCACTACTTAATAGATGTGTGTGATACAGTATCCCTCAGAATGATATATGCTCTTATAATGGGCCTTTGGCTTGCTCAGGGTCAGGCTAGAAACGGACTTTCTTAAACGTGATTACAGAAAGCCTGGCAATTCATATCATAATCTTCATTTTAAGAAATAAAAAAGGAAAAATGGCCACTTAAAGCTCCTCCTGGTTGGTCAACTCTGCTCCTCCACATCAAGGTGCAAAATGGCTCACCTGTTTGAAGATCCTCTCAAAACCTATTTTTCTATCAGAAATGAGATCCTATCACACATGAGCAGGTAATCAGGTACCATAAAATACAATTTCCTTACATTCTGAAAGACTGACCCATCTAATGATTTGCAAAAAACAACAAAAAAACCCCTCATCGTTAGGTGTACAAAACAGAATTGCAGACCCAGAGGGCAGAAGGGCTTTAAACAATGATTCCATGTAATCCCCAAATTACATGTTTATTGGCAGATCAGGGGATGAGTTTTTAACTTAGCATAAGCACAATCCTTTTTTATTTACATTTGCTAAAGTGCAACTTGGTAAGACCATAATTTCCACTTTCAGATTTTCATATAAATGTGCCTGACATAAAAGAGCACTTACTGCTTTTCTGGAGAAACTGAAAAATGGAAAGTTAGCTCCTAGAACCCTATCACGCGCCCAGCAAGTCCTCGGTAAATGTTAGTCGATTAAATATTAGTCAAAGATGACAAGGTGGGCGCCAGGGACAACAGAACCATTCCCGACAGGCAGTGTGATTTGGCTACAGGCAGAGAGCGCAGCGACGCCGAGCAGTCGTCAGGCGCAGGGACCGGGAGCCCCGCCACTGTGCGCCGGACCAGGGGACAGTCCCCGGCGGGCGGTGGAGAGCCCAGAGGTCGAGGCGCGGTAGGGGATCTTGCTGGGTCAACGTGGGTAATTATGTGGCTAGGAAAGCTGAGGTCCTGGGCAGGGGCGGACGCTCGCCGCGGGGTCCCACTCTAGCAGCCCCACGGGTGTTCCACCACAGGTGCCTCGAAGCCCCACGCCCGCTGACTCAACAAGACCCGGGTGGTGGCTGAGTCAGTTGCTCCGGCTCGTGTACTCAGCCACAGCGCGCGCACGCAGAAAAGCACCGCCCCGCTTGCCTTCTGGCTCTCAATGATTGGTGGTTGGGCGATGGGCGTGTGTGTGAGCATAAGCAGGGTTGCTATTGGCAAACATTACCGGTCACTCAACGAGACAGGGAGGGGAGGGGCCTTCTCAGGGAGGGACAAGAGTGCGAGGCTTTTTCAAGGCCGTCAGACGCCATCTTTGGCTTTTTTGTTTACTTGCTTTTGTTCTTTGCTCTTCACAAAGCTATGTGTACACGATTATAAGTACAGTGACCTCAGATCGGTTTCATACGCTTGATGGTGGTTGATTTTTAGTTCCAGCTGGCCTTGGTTACAGGTTTTCAGGTAACGCTTGCAAAACAGCAGTTCCTCTTAGTCAAAGTTTTCATCTTTGGGGGACCCTCGCATTCCCAGAAAGAAAGAAAAGAAATCAACTCAGCGTATATTTGCTTTTCTTTGTTAAAGCCAAGCCAACGATGTATTTGCATGAGGAATTCTCTTTCTTACAAAGAAATTCAAAGCAACTACGTTGCATATGAGCATAGGTCCCAAGATACCGAAATTGAGTAGCCTAGGAAGTGTACCTCTCCCTTTTCTGAGAAGCTAAAAAGTGTACGTGGTAACCTGTAGTATATTCGGAGAGTTAGAGCAAAACCTCATTAAGAATTCCCATCACTGCTGAGGTAACAAAAGTCAGCATCTGCGAAGATTTGGAAAGCAACGCAGGTCTTAACTTGTGGAATGATCCACATTCGAGCCAGCATTTATTAAACGCTGATCTAACTCACATTGTTAGGGGATAAAAATATACTGTTAGAAACCCGGGGACCCCACACAGGGTCATTTTCCTTATAATGAATTCACGACCTTATACACATTTTTATTGCAGTTGTTACTTAGGTGTCTTAAATACTGCTTGAAATGGAGGACACAGCTGAAGGATGGGAATATATGATTATCACACAGAGGTTTTGTAATGAAGTAGATTCTTTTAATCACCTGCTTGCTACTACACTTGTGACATTCCAGTTTCTCCCTCATCACCCCATATATTTCTGTGCTTTCATTCCAATCTGTAAATACAGATTTGAGTACAGATACTGTCTGTATGACTGCTAATGAGATGTCTGGTTCTATAAAAGCAGGAAGTGACAGTAGGCCTTCTACAGCAGGAGGCTCTGCTCTGAGCCTGTTGTCCTCTAATTCACTTGTCACTGAGACTTAGACCAAGAGAGGATTTTCATTCCAAAAATCCAACATGATAACAAAATGCATTCCTTATCCCTATTATCTGCCTTTGCCTCCTCTTGGCCCCCATCAACACCACTGTGAACAGTTTTTGAGAGTGGACTTGACTGAATTTTTCCTGATATTTTACCAACTGTGGAGCTTTTCAAACAAATCCCAACCAATAAATGACTATTTTGTCAAAAAGCCAAGAGAGAACTTCCGTTCGGAACACAACAACCAAACCATACATAAAGGCCAAAATATACACAGCTGTACATTTAAGAACGTGAGACAATAAAAAGCAAAACCACTTAGGCAAAACAATCACTAAAGGCATCTTTGAACTACAGATTCAATAAATTGCCTACCTTCATTTGCAACATGGAGTATACACTCTGGCAATTTAATTATTCACTAATCTGATCCTTTAAAAGAGGAGCAGAAAAATACTGTAAATGCACATAGAATGAAAGTCAATAAGTAGGTTAAACTTTAGGATTTCCTCTTAGCTTTCTTTGCACACGAAATCCTGTTTTGGTCACATTTGGGAGCACAACAGAAAAAGTTCACATTCTAAGGTCTATTTTGCACACATAAAACCAAAGGCAATCACTTTTGAAAATAAAATCTGATATGGCACATATACACATACTGTACATATACACAAAGAATAAACCCCAGTATTTATGAAATCATTTGCTTTAAGAAATACACACACACACACACACACACACACACAGAAATGTCCTCATGAAAATGTATGTGCAAGACACACCATCCTCTCCCCGGGGAAATAAGTGTCCCAATTACAATATCCCAATATTTTAAATCTATTGGCCTTGGACAATTGCCATGTCCAAGCCACTTGGTTTTGGTCCTGGGGAAGGGTGTGTAAAATGCATGCCAAAGGGCTTTGTGAGAGAGCCTCAAATCTCAAATCTCTTTCTGCTTCCTTCGATGTTGCCCGTGGCAGGAATTTACATTATCCCTTCAGCCCACTTAAAGAAATAAATCTATACTTCCCAAGTGGCTAAAATTTTAAATCCCTCAACCACAAAAATTTACCAGTTCTTAAAATGTGATAGCAAAAAGGAAAAAAAAAAAATCTCTAGAAATTTGGCTGGAAACAGTTGTACACGGCCATCCCGCTTCTCAACTTCTTGGTATATTTAAAACCTTGACCAGGAAAAAGAAAGAGGAAGAGAGACAGAAAAAGAAATGGGGAAAAGAGCAAATTCCCCTTAGCAACAGTTTCCTCACCCCAGCACTGCCACAGATCTCTATTTTTAAAAAATTTGAAAACACACACAAGATTAAGTAGGGGAAAAAAATGGAAAAAGGATACCCGAAGGTCGTATGGCTCTTTGTATTCGTGTGTGTGCAAAAGGAGGACTCGGGGCGCCCGAGCCTGCAAGCCCCGCCCCTCCCCGGACGGCTGCCCCGATTGGCCGCCGGCGGCCGCGGGGCGCCCCGCCCGCGAGCACACGCGCCGCGCCCGAGGCGCCGGCCCCGGGGAGCCCCTGAGGGCCGCCCGACCCCCGACCCGCGCGGCCTGGCCGCAGTACCCCCCTCCCCCGCGCGCGCCCGGGGTCTCCCTCGCCTCTGCCGCTTCCTTTCACTTTCTCACCCACCACTCTCCCCTTCCCATCTTGTTTACCCAGTGAAACAAGGCCTGGCACCAGCACGATGCTGTAGTTGGTAAGGGAGCTCCTTCTGACACTTTGTGAACTTGGTTTCCATAACTTCTGAACAGTAACACAGTGACGGGGTTAAACCCCGCGTCGTGCGCTGCGCCTGGCTTCCAGGTGGGTCTCTGGGCCCTCTTGCTGCCTAACACCCCACCTTTCCACGAACAGGCACGTAGGTGACCATGTCCAGGTGAAAGACAAAGTACGGTTACACTTTGGGGGTTGTTTGGCCACAGGCTGAGCCCCCAGTTTTTCCTTACTTGGCTAAGACCACTTCCTCAGACTAAAATGGCTCTCCTTTACTTCCTGCATGAAGATCAGTAGTAGCGTATACCTAGGTTTTTAAAAATCACCCAGAATCTGATCACATCTTAGCTATTTGTCCTTCCTTCCCACCTCCCTCACCTTTTCACTTCGTATTACTCCTTTGCTCAGAGTGGTTTGTGTCTGCCTAGAACGGTGCCTGACTCCTCTGCTCCCACTTGTCAGTTTGTATCCATTCTTCACTAGTTCAGTAGACACAGACCACTTCCTCTTCTGCTCCTTAGCAGTGTGGACTTCGTGCTGCTTACTCAAGTTACCCGCACTGCACTCTACTCCGATTGAGGGGGAAAAAAAATTATACAGATGTATTTGAACCCAGGGCCTTTGCCTTAAGCTACATCCCCAGCAAAATGTTTTGTTTTTGAGACAGGACTTGCTAAATAAATAAATTGCCCAGGCTGAGCTTGAAATTGAGATTCTCCTGCCTCAATCTCCCAGTGCTAGGATTACAGGTATGAGCTCCCACACCCGGCTTCCTTCGAATATTTTAGTAAATTCAGGCTGAGAAACTCTTTGAGATTAGGAATTATTTATTTTGCAGTACTCTACTGATAATTGAATCCAGGGCCTTCACAGTGAGCTACAACCCAGCCCTTTTTTAAAATTTTGAGGCAGGGTGTTGCTAAGTGACTAAATTGCCCAGGCTGGGTTTGAACTTGTGATTCTTCTGCCTTAACTTCCACAGAATGCTGGAATCACCGGGCTGTGTCATTAAGTCCAACTCAGAGATGGTATTTTAAAACTTATTTTTCCATTTACAGACTGTTTTTGTTTTTGTTTTGGTACCAGGGATCCAACTCAGGACTTTGTGCTTGCAAGGCAGGCACCGGAACCACTGAGCTAAATCCCCACCCCTACAGACTGTTTATGTAATTCTTACTGTAGCAACATAATTGTATCTATTTACTAAGCACTGAAAAAAATCACTTTGGGCCAGGGATTTAGCTCAGTGGTTCTGCCGCCTGCCTGGAAAGTGCAAGGACCCCAGTTCGATACCCGGTACCAAAAAACACCCCCCCCCCCAAATCACTTAATGATCAAGCCAGGTGTAGTAGTGCATAGCAGTAGCCCCAGCATGAGGGAACCTGAGGCAGGAGGATCACTTTGTGGGGGGGGGGGTACTGGGGAATCAAACAGGATTTTTGCTTTGTTTCCTGTTTTAGAAAGAATCTCATTATGTAGCCCAAGCTAGCCTCCAAGTCCCAGTGATCCTCCTGCCTCAGCCTCCAGAGTGCTGGGATCACAGGCGTGTGCCACCAGGCCCAGAAGGAGGATCACTTGAGTGAGTTCAAGGCCAGCCGAGGATATACAGTGAGACCCTGTCTCAAAAAAAAAAAAAAAAAGAGCCAGGGATTTAGCTCAGTGGCACCATACCTGCCTTGCAAGTATAAGGTCCGGAGTTTGATCCCTAGTACCAGAAAAAAAAAAATCTGTGGGCCAGGGATTGAGCTCAGTGGTTCTGCTGCCTACCCTGAAAGTGCAAGGACCCAAATTTGATCCTCTGTACCAAAAAAAAAAAAAATAGTGAGACTCTGTCTCAAAAAAAAAATCATTTATTTATTTATTTGGTACCAGGGATTGAACTCAGGACCTTGCACTTGCAAGGCAGGCAGCAGCACCACTGAGAAAATAATTTGTTATTAAATGGATTTTTTTTCCTAGCTCAAACAGATTTTTAAACTCAGGTCCTACAAGAAGGATACTTCTAGAGTAACAGTTTGTGCACATTTGTTGTGCAGGCAATGTCCTGAACACTTTGTACACATTATGTACTGTTATTTTTTTTTTCATTTTAGAGACGTGGTTGAAGCACAGAAGGGTATAATAATTTGGCTAGATTTATATGGTTAGTAGAGAAGGACAGAGGATTTGATCCCAGAAAATCCAGCCCCAAAACTCACGTCCATAAACACTGGCTTTACAGCAGTTTAAAATAATATTGTTACTTGACTGGTCTTTACAATATTCTATAAGACAAATGCCGGGATGCTTCTAAGATATCAATGTTAGAGGAACCAAAACACAAAGGTTGGCAGCACTGTTCTAAACTAAGAACAATAAACATGACAACTAAAGGCAAAGTATTATCTGAGCCAGAAAAAGCTATAATGGTCATTATCAGCATAACTGGGGAAAATGAAATATACCCAGGATATTAGAGAATTTGCCTGAATCACTGTTAAACAGTCAGGGTGTTGGCATTGGCACTTTATAAGAAACTGAGACTCAGAGCTTACCCTAAGCCAGTTTATCTACACCATCCCACACACATGTGTCACTAGCTGTCAGCCATACGCTCTAGGTTCCCAGAGTCCAGGACTTGCTTAGTAGGATCTGGTTCTCAGTGGGAAAGCCTGTTATTGTCCCAGGTGTGCTTTTCAGCCCAGCAGCACTCTAGCCGATATACAACCCAGGCAGTAGCTTTGTTTTTATTATTTTATTATTATTTTGGGGGGGGGGAGTACTGGGGATCGAACTCATGACCTTGTGCTTGCAAGGCAGGCATGGTGCCACTGAGCTAAATCCCCAGCTGTAGCTTTTTTTTTCTTTCTTTTTTTTTTTTTTTAGCTGTAGCTTTTTTTTTAAAGGACTATAGACTTTCTGTGTTTTTTTGTTTTATAGTAGTGGGGATTGAACCCAGTCCCTTACATATGCTAGGCAAGTGCTCCACCACTGAGCTACACCCTTAGGCCCTGTGTTTCTTTATATGTTTTCCATTTAAACATTTAAAGAAATACGCAAACCAGGGAGACATGGTGGCTCATGTCTGTAATCCTGGCACTGTGGGAGGCCGCTGAGGTGGGAGTTACTATTATACTTCCTTTATTACTGAGGAGAAAATTGAGACTGTGGGGGACTGGCCACTTCAGGCCATTGAGATCGTGACCTCAGTGGTGGTCACAGGTAGGATCAGAGTTTGGATCCTTGTGAAACACTGCAGGGCCTGTGCTTTTGGTTGTTCATTAGCCGAATACACACAAAGAGCCTCTGCCTGGCTCTTAGTCTGTCTGATTGAGCCTACGAAAGCTCAATCACACTGTCTTCACGCTGATGGTCAATGGAATGTCCAAAACCCCCTTATGTCTCCTGGGATATATATATGTTTTTGGGTTTTTTTGGTACCAGGGATCCAACTCAAGACCTTGTCCTTGCCAGGCAGGCTCAATGCCACTGAGCTAAATTCTCGGCCCTCTTGGTGATATGGGGGGAAGAGATGTAACTCCCAAACTTACTAGATATCCAAAACGCAAGTTCATGTTCTCTAAAATCAAAGAATGAATTCTAGGAACAACGGAGGTTAAGAGTAGGAAAAATTGGGCCAGGAATTTAGCTCAGTGGTTCTGTGGCCTGCCTCGCAAGCGCAAAGACCCAAGTTCGATCCCCAGTACCAAAAAAAAAAAAAAA